TTTAAATCAAATAAATAAGTGTATTTAAATGGTACCACATAGTTTTTTTCAAATGGAATAAAAAATTTTATTCGAAGTTTTGTTTATATTAAGTAAATGTTTATTTACTATCAATAAATCTTTGAAAATTTGCCACGATTTTCTAAATAATTCTTGTCCAACTTTCCGCTCTGCGTAATTTTTATCAGATTTTCTGTCTCTTGCATCTAAATAGCGGTAGCAAATTAAACTGTCAAAAATGCCAGGATCAATGTTGGATTTTATGATATTTCTTGTAACATAAATTCTACGGGACCGTCAAACTACTCAACTTACGGCAATAAAAAGAAGACGTCATGACTGTCATATTCAGACAAGAAAAAATGACAGTCATATTCACAACTCCAATACTGAAGTTTGAAAATATTTTTTTGCCTCATTCTCCTCCAGTTGCACCCAAAGTAACCATCCGAACTTTCGCGTGAATCAACCGGAATAGTGTCACAAGTTGGCAATTGATTTATCTCCTTCAATCGTTAAAAAGCACTTGACACGTCTGAAGAAACATCATTATAGAAAGTACCTGTATCTCCCATAAGTGGAAGGAAAGTGATGCCTATATTTGGTATGAATATCTTCTTCGTAAACAATCCGTAAATAACAATATGAATGAGTGGATACGAACGGATATTGATGTGAATGTATTCATTTATGAATAGATTAATGACTCAAGAATCATATAAAAAACAAAGCTTCGAATTCTTAACAATATTCATTTTTCGTGCAGAGAATGGAGTACGAAAAAGCTTGAAAGAAAAACCTATCGCATTCGTTGGGAAATTTTATTGTTTTTTCGACGATTCAATTTGAAAATTCCGCAATTTTCCGCACGTTTTCTTAAATAGAAACATTTAATTTAAAAGTAATAGATTTTCCGTACAACTTCTTTTATTGCGACATTTTTTATAAAAATTCTTCGGCATAAATTTTCTGGATTCGGCTCACTCATTTTCTCCTTGTTCCATAAAAAATTCAGGTAAAAAAAACTTGGAAAATTTAAGCCGAGGAATTTTTCGAGAAATCATCTCGAGAGAATGAGTACATATTTTTGTTTAAGGATAATCGGGCGAGCCTGGAGGGTTGGAAAAAAACAGCCATTTTTCTCTTTTTTTTACGTATTCTTTAAATGATGGAAAAGACGTGTGCAAACTTTCAGACTGTTGGGGAGCATGGTTAATTTATTATGAATTTTTGAAAAAGTGGTCATTTAACCCGCGATCTTATGGAAATCACAAAAAAACTGCAAAACCCAAGGAAAAAATGCAGCCAAAGTCATGAAACTTTAGACACATTTAGAACATGTGATCAATGATTTTTTGAGTGAAAAAGATTGTCGCCTAGGAGCATTGTTTATTAATAATAGCGAAAAAAGTACTGAAAAATGACATTTCTGCGCACGCAGCCCAAACGAGCAGCAATGTCCCAAGTACCGATCGGGTGGGGGTAGCGCGGTCAATTTAAATGTCTCTTGAGAGAGAGCGATGAAGCGTTGTGATTGGAGCTCCCTCGAGCCAGTGGTACCAGCTCCTGGTGAAAAAAAAAACTACCAACGATGTTGCCACTTTTTCGCGTGGATTAATATTTTTTCATTTATTAAAAAAAAACAATCTGAAAACCATTCAATGCGTGGAACAAATACAAATAAATTTGATTAGCTCCAAAAATAATTTTTAACCAGAGATACTCCCTAATATTGCCTGAATTTTGAATCCGAATGGAAAAAATTTTTTTGTTCAGTGATTGGTTTTCTGCAGGAAAACAGTAGAAACCCCTCCGCCTCACCTCCTACATTTCCTCCTCGCCCGATTATCCTTAATTGCATACATCAAAATGAACATCACAAGTTTGATTAGCGCAATGTGCAATTCAGACTACACAATGAGCAATTGAGATGGCAGATTACAATTTAGTCCAATCCAATATGTGAATCGTGTAATTAGAATGTGAAGATTACATTTCTATAGACAAAGTGGTAATTCAAAACATCAAATATGTCAAAAGATGAGGGACTCCATCGTCTGTAATATGTCATTTTATCAGGAAAATGCTGTTCTCGATATTAAAGTATGCTAATTCCCTCTGAAATTACCTCAATGCACCTTGAAATGGGATTAGCTCCTCATACCTACGCAAAAACAAAGTTCATCCCCCCAACTTTTAATAAAAACGAATGCTTTTGATATTTTTTCTTTGATGATGAAAATACCCCGAGATTGAACTGACAATTTCATAACCCACAAATATTATTGTAACACACCTTCTAAAATCTTTCACGAAATACATGAAAATGTGATTTTCCCAAAATAAGAAAACTATTTGAAATAAATAAATTGTTTATTCATTTGTAACAAAAGTATTCTTAAAATAAGTGAAAAATTTCAAATAAAGATTTTTATTTGACTCAAAAGAATTATTTTTCTGGGTGTGGAAAATCGAGTTCGGGGGGACCCATAATCCCCGCATTTCATTATTTATCTCCTAAACTGTATAGTACAGCTCGTTAGAACCTTTTTCAATAGCTGGGGAATATTATGAACATTATCCACTTTCAAAAAATCCAGTTAGTCCTTACGCCCACGACCGTCCTTGTAAAATTGTTAGGTCGCGTCGAGAATGTCAGTGGGTTTTGTTTTTTGGGTCGCTGATTACGAATCTGTCGGTTACTTTTTCGAAAAATTGTCCCTTCAAATGTTATTAACAATTTTAATTGTTTAAAAGGCTTTATCTGCCAAACTATGACAGATATCGGAAAAATGTTCAAACAAAAGATGTTTGATATATAAAAATACTCATTTTTTGTTCTATACCTTTTCCCCCTAACTATGATAGATACGAAGTTATCGAGGGGTGGCAGCGGAGCGGGCGCCACGTGAGTACTCGCGCAGGGTGTTGGCGCGCTCCGATGCGTTTATCGGGACACTCGATGCAGATAGAGAAAAATTGTTGAAATGAAAAATATTTGCAATCAAATTTCCCATATAATTGATTTTTTGACATTTTTTCCTACAACCAGTAGTTGATGAGATATTGACGCCATCATGCTGCGTGATCGGGCAAATTACCTAGAACGCTTTTGTTTACTGTTGTTTTACGAGTAAACAATTGGAGATACAGGAAAAAATGTTGCATAATAGTTGATCCCCCATAAAAAATACACACTTTTGATATTTTGGTCTTTGGCCTAATCTCCATTATTTACAGAGATAGAGCCCGTTGTAATACTGATAGTCGTTGCCCCCCACGACAGTCCTATGTAAACTGTTAGGTCGCGTTGTCAATGTTAGTGGATTCTATGTTTTTTGGTTCGCTGATCACGAATCCGTCGGTTGATTTTCCAAAAAATTGTCCCTTCAATTGTTATTAACAATTTTTAGTGTTTGAATGGCCTGGAAAACTCATCAACTACTGGCTGTAGGAAAAAATGTCAAAAAATCAATTATATGGGAAATTTGATTGCAAATATTTTTCATTTCAACTATTTTTCTCTATCTGCATCGAGTGTTCCGATAAACGCATCGAAGCGCGACAACACCCTGCGCGAGTACTCACGCGGCGCTCGCTCCACTGCCACCCCCCGATAACTCCGTATCTATCATAGTTAGGGGGAAAAGGTATAAAACAAAAAATGAGTATTTTTACATATTAAACATCTTTTGTTTGAACATTTTTCCGATATCTGTCATAGTTTGCCAGATAAAGCCTTTTAAACAATTAAAATTATGAATAACAATTGAAGGGACAATTGTTCGGAAAAGTAACCGACAGATTCGTGATCAGCGACCCAAAAAACATAAAACCCACTGACATTCTCGACGCGACCTAACAATTTTACAAGGACGGTCGTGGGCGTAAGGACTAAGTGTAACGATTTTTGAAGCCTCTATTCCGTTTATCAAGAAATATAATATGATGTCTATGTATATTTTTTTATGTACTGTAATCTTTTGTTTACAGTAATTGTAAAAGAAGAGAAATTCATTCAAAGGAAAAAATTCTTACTGTAACAATAATATATATAATATAATATATATTATATTATATTATATATACTATATGCACATATATTTTTCTATACTTTAATTTTTTTCAATTGCAAAAAATTAATATAATTCGATAAAAAAATATGTATAAGATAGTATATCTGTATATAGTAAATAATACATCCCTAAAAATAAAAAAGAATGCAAAAAGCAAAAGAGAAATGAAAAAGAAGATGGAGAGCATTACGAGGATTCCGAATAAATTATTCAACCATGAAATTCTCATCGTGAAAAACTTTGTTCAAACCATTAATTTTTCCTGCATTATTACTGCAATAAAAATTAATGAAAGTGAGAAACGGTTAGGTTTTACTATTCTGGCACCCAGGGAAAGCAATACGTGCACGAAGCGCGCGCCCTGTTCTAGTCGGTGAAAAACATAGGGACAACTGTAAGAAAAACCTATTTTCTAGGAATATACCTTAAAGTACGGTAAATCCCACTGAAATTACCTCAATCCACTTTGAAATGAAATTAACTCCCCTTACCTACCGCAAAAACAGTCTCCATCCCCTCAACTTTTAATGAAACTGAATGCATTTGATATTTCGTCTTTGATGATGAAAATACCCCGAGATTGAACCGAGACTTCCACAGTGAAGCATTGCGGGTTACCCCCGGTGTTAGTCCCGGAGGGGGGGCTTGATATGCCGTTGAATTAGGGGAGATTCTCGTCGTCGTTCATAAAGCCCCCGAGGGGTAAAAACCCATTATAAAAAGATTCTTTGGGAACTGGCCTCAAGATTCGATCACAGGCTTTTCGACTGCAGACTCTGATATCCCCTTCGTCTGTACCTCTCAACCCTCTGTGAGAATTTGTAAAGAATTCTCCGGACACTGTGAGAATGATAGATTCTACTCCATCGAAGTGATTTGGGAAAATCGTACTGATGAATATTTCTTTTCACGGTTTATTTGCAGAAGCGGGAGAGGAGATCGCCGGGGAAACGAATGGATCGACTGAGGAGAAGCTTCAGGGATAGTTTTAGGAGAAGGAAAGATGCGCATATTCCGGAATCTAGTAAACCACATCAGTGGCAGTCGGATGAGAGTGCTGTGAGATCTGCTACTTGTGCATTTCATGTTAAAGTGAGTATATTACGAGATATCCAAGTACTTTGGCTGTTTTTGCTTCCGAATGGAAGCCTTGTGTTTAACCGATTTTTCGATTTTCTAATTCTCATTGCAAATGGTCTAGAATGTTATGAAACGTGAACAAATTATGTTTTTAGGGTCATGTCTACACACATGTATGTGATAACTTGGGTTTTTGGAGATTAATTTTTAGAAAATTCAACATAAATACGGTGAAATTTGTAAATAAAAATCTAAAATTTTGACGTCGTTTTTCATATATAACAAATTGTTTAAATTTCGTTTTTCCTCAATATCTCAAAAATTACTATACCTGTTTCAATTTTCAAGTGGTCCAAATACTTATCTCGATAACCTCTATCTGAATCAAGCAGATATAGTCGTTTTTGCTTTTTTTCATAAAAAATCTTGTACGCATGATAACTTGGAAAAACCAGCAGGGGTTCCGAGCCTATCCGACAGAAGGCATGCGACCGTTTCTTTTTGCGTTATTAGTCTTTTTATTCTTTTCATTTCTACCAATTCTATTGATAGTAAGCTTTCGAATGGATCCGTTCCTCGTGCCTGTGACAGGCATATGCGTATGCAATCGATTCCACTTTTTTTTCAAAATATTCGTCTTGATGTCCTCTACCGAGATCAATTAAAACATCTATAACTGTTCATACAAAATGTTCGAGATATTCCCCTTTTTCTGTTTTTTCATTAAAATCGTATGCCTGTGACAGGCATATGCGTATGCAATCGATTCCACTTTTTTTTCAAAATATTCGTCTTGATGTCCTCTACCGAGATCAATTAAAACATCTATAACTGTTCATACAAAATGTTCGAGATATTCCCCTTTTTCGGTTTTTTCATTAAAATCGTATGCCTGTGACAGGCATACGCATATGCCTGTCACAGGCACGAGTACTCGACTCGACTTTGCATAATACAAGGATTTTAATGAAAAAACAGAAAAAGGGGAATATCTCGAACACTTTGTATGAACAGGTATAGATGTTTTAATTGATCTCGGTAGAGGACATCAAGACGAATATTTTGAAACAAAGTGGAATCGGTTGCAAAGTTTTAAAGATATTCAACATAATAGATTTTCAGAAAAAGTTGAATATCTCCGAAACTACTGATGCGATTGAGTCTGTCTTCAATACGAACCTTTGTTATCACAGGAGGAAGATTCTGTCCAAATTTCAAGTCGATTTTTGCACACGTTAGCGCGCGTACAAGGATTTTAATGAAAAAACAGAAAAAGGGGAATATCTCGAACACTTTGTATGAACAGGTATAGATGTTTTGATTGATGTAGGTAGAGGACATCAAGACGAATATTTTGAGCAAAAATAAATCTAAATCGGTCCAATAATTTTAAAGATATTCGTGAAAAACGATTTAAAAACGAATCGCTTTATCTCAAAAACTACTTGACCGATCGGGCTGAAATTATGCACAGAGTTAGTCCTCATTAAGACCTATAATCTGACGAAATTCCACATTTTTTTGAATCATTTTAGCCACTTAATTACTCAATTTTCTAAAAATTGACCATTGGGAAGGTGGCGGTGGACATATTCACATACAGACATGGTCGCCAAACTTCGTATTTTTACGTTTCAGACCATTCTACATCATTTCCAATGAAAATTAGAGAATGTGAAAATCGGACGATTACAAAGCTTCCATTCGGAACTGCAAAAACCAGCAGGGGTTCTGAGCCTATCCGACAGAAGACATGTGATCGTTACTTTTTGCGCCATTAGTGGCTTTCTTTTTGCTTCCGAATGGAAACCTTGTTTCTGGCCGATTTTTGGATTTTCTAATTTTCATTGCAAATGGTCTACATTCTAGACTCTAGAATGTTATGAAACGTGAAGACATGATGTTTTTAGGGTCATGTGTGTATGTATGTATGTGACAATTTGGGTTTGTGGTGATTAATTTTTAGAAAATTCAACATAAATACGGTGAAAGTTGTAGATAAAAATCGAAAATTTTGTCTCATTATAGTTATTATTGAGCTCAACTTTGGTGCGCTGTTTCAGCCGGATCGGTCTAGTATTTCCTGAGAAATAACAACTTGTTTCAATTTCGTTTTTCCTCAATATCTCAAAAACTACTGCACTGATTTCAAAATTTTTTTTTTTTCAAAATACTCGTCTCAATGGCCTCTGTGTAGGTCAATCAGAATAGATGGACTCTTTAATACACAGTTTAGAGATATTGCCGTTTTTCCGTTTTTCATGAAAAATCTTGTACGCACGATAACTTGAGAAAAAAAGGAGATAGCAAGTTGAAATTTGGTATGGTTCTAGCTCTTATAATACTAAAGTTTGGTATTTTGGATGACCACAATCGGCCGAGCGGTTCCTGAGATACGCAACGTTTTGCGTGAATATATTTCTTCAAATATCTCATGAACTACTCGACGGATTTCAATTTTCTTTTCAAAATACTCATCTCGACGGCTTCTATTTAGATCAATCAAAATATATAACCATTCCTACAAAGTTTCCGAAATATTGCCGTTGTTTCGTTTTTAACATTTTTTCATTCTTGTACGCAAGATAATTTAAGTTAGGCGTTACCGGCGGAGCAGTTTCGAAGATATTTAACCTTTTGTGTAAATCTTTTTTATTAAAAGATTTAATATTTTCCTGTAGACACCCGGTAGCATGTGGTTACGGTTGTATGCCTGTCACAAGGATAGGGAATTGCTACAGATCCATTTGGAAGTTTACTACCAATGTCACAAGGATAAAATAAAAGGACTAATAGCGCAAAAAGCAACGGTCACATGCCTTCTGTCGGATTAGCCTGAACCCCTGCTTATTTCTCCAGAGAAATGCTTTTCTGAGTTTGTAATCGAACATCAGAGCTTTCATTTGAGCCCCATTTAACCTTAAGTTTCCTGACCTAATCAACTCAATTGATTTTTCTTCCAGTATTTGGGTTGCGTGGAAGTATTCGAGTCCCGGGGAATGCAGGTCTGCGAGGAGGCACTGAAAGTACTGAGGGTGAGAATCATTTGACACAATTATCGAATAGTTCAGTTAAAACTGATTAAAATCAACAAAATCCAGTTACACCCAGATAAATCAGTAGCGAAACGTTAAAACGATCCGAGTCGTCTTGAGCCTCAGCTGAGTTTTAGAAGAATATCACCGAATCTAAGGGAGATAACGAAATTTTCGTAATGACCTTTTTTGCAGAGCAAATTAAGAGCTGTAAAAAAGGTCTTGGCCCAAATTTTGCCATTTCCCTTAGATTTCGAGATATTCATTGAAAACTGGCCGATAGTCAAAGTCGTAAATCTTAATTAAAACGCTTCGCTACAAAAACGAACAAGTTCTCAAACAAGTCTTGTTGGAGCCAACAAAATCGTTAGTTGAAAATGACAAAAAAAATGTTTTTGGTTCGAATGTGAAAGTCTTAAACATGAATAATTCATGAATAATTCAATAATTCACAAGTCTTAAACATGAACAACGAAATATTTGGCTCGACAGGCGGATCATTCATACAAGAGACAGTGCTTTTTCAGGATAAAAATATCGTTTATAGAGGGAAGTTTATCAAGAAATATTTTGTCCCTTCACTGTCAGAAAATAACACTTGAAATTTCAAGTATACAATCTTGAAATTTTTAACAATGACACAGTTACATGAATTTTATGTATGTTTCTTTATTGAAGAATCAGTTGATTAGTTGAATATTCAAGGGATTCTTAATTTCCAAGTCCACATGACACTTGAAAATATTGAAAATTGGAAAAAAATCAGGTGACAATTTTTCAGAATTCTCAATTTATTGAAAATTCATTTGTATCTAATGTTTAATTTTCACAATGAGTTTGGAAATTCAAACTATCATTGAAATATCAATGATCGCTTGACATGAAAAACCATATTTTCTTGAATTGTTGAGAAAAATTTCATGAACTAGTTTACATTAAATGAAATTCAAAGTCACGATATCAAGAATTCAGATGACATTATGACTGAAATTTCAAGAAATTTCCAACAGTGTAAGTTACAAGATTGTCTCATGTCATTACTATATTTCATTTAAGAATTCATTGTTTATCTGTGATTATTGAATAGCCGAGACGACAAACTACTATCCCTCGTTTCATACAAAACGAGTATTTGCCGGCAACAAAATACGAATGGGAGCATCGAATAACGAAAAAGTAGTGCTAGAAATTACATTTCTTGCTTGCACGGAGAATAACATTTTTTTGAAGACTAAATCTATTTTTGCAATAAAAATGTTCAATCTCGTCGCACGTTTCCCATGTTTGGCACAAAAATCCCTTTTTGATGATTTTTAACAAACGATTTTCTTGGCACAAGTAAGACTTCTTTGAAAACTGCTATTTTCCTCTCAGTGTACTGAAATCAGACTCAATGGTCTAATTGTCCATTAAATTTCGGTAGAATTCAAGAAGAAGACCCGTGAGAGCGATACTGCATGTCTCGGGTGATGGATTGAGGGTGGTTGAGGATGAAACCAAGGGTCTCATTGTCGACCAAACTATCGAGAAAGTTTCATTCTGCGCACCTGATAGAAACCACGAGAAGGGCTTCAGCTATATCTGCAGAGATGGGACCACTAAGCGATGGATGTGTCATGGGTTCTTGGCACTCAAAGAGACGGTGAGTCATCGATTTCAGATAAATTCCAATGGAGAACGACTTTTTCTGGTATCTCTTTGCACGAGGAAAAGCTCATTATTGGCGAACGGTGTGATTCAACTTTTCGTATGATGAACACATTCACCTGTGGTTTTTACATGCCAGTAATACAGGAGTGAGATCACCTGTAATATTTTTCTCCTCGAGTTTTTGCTTTTCTTTCGTCTCGGGGAGGGTTACGTGGCGGCTTCTTCATCAGGTTGCTTGGGAAAATTTATATTAGAGAGCGGAGAATTTCATAGTTGAAAGGGGTAAAACTGGATTGGTCGGTTTTTATTTAGGGTAGATCAGTTTTAGGAGAATACAGAGTGATCCATGAAATGTGACTGGTCTGAATGGGATATTATGTTCCTCAGAAACAACTGAGATTATGGAGACATTACTATGATAACATAGTAAAAGGGTTTTCAACTGTCCCTACATAGTAATTCTTACTATGTCCCATGGTAATGCTTACTATGTTCCATAGTAATGCTTACTATGTTCCATAGTAATGTTTACTATGTTCCATAGTAATGTTTACTGTGTTCCATAGTAATGTTTACTATGTTCCATAGTAATGCTTACTATGTTCCATAGTAATGCTTACTATGCTCATAATAATGTTCACTATGTCCCATAGTAGGTTCTTACTACGTCCCATAATAATGCTTACTATGTCCTATAGTATTGCCTACTATGTTTCATAGTAATGTTTACTATGTTCCATAGTAATGCTTACTATATCCCATGGTAATGGTTACTATGTTACATAGGAATGTCTACCATGTCCATAGAAATGGTTACCATGTAAATGGAAAATGGTCCTATGAACATAGGAAGTATCTCCAAAATAACCGACTGAAATTTGCGATTGCCTCTTGATGCGTTCATAAACTCAACACGCTTAAGGCTTAAACTCTGTTATTAGTTGGATATAACCGTTCCATATCACTCAAATTACGATGCGAGAATAGAAACATGTGTCAAGCATGCATGGGGACAAGTGAGCGAGCGTAGGGACAGGACACTTTCCACATTTATGGACGATTATTTATTACAAAACAGTAGTTATCATGATTAATATGAGTGTATTCTAATCCTGAAGGTTTTACCCTCCGATGTCTAATTTAAGACATCACATCTCACACTCATTTCGATAGAAACATTGGACTAATGATGTGTTTGCCTTAGCTAGATGAACGTAGGGTCACTCACCTTAATTTAAAAAAGGAATATCGAATCTGACGGGAAAAAAGACATAATGAAAGGGCGTCAACGCTCAATATAAAATATCTAGGGAATATTTCTCCATAATTCTACATTTTTCGTTTAGCTGTCTATGGGGTATGTAAAATGGGTGAATAGGGAAGTTGAGGAAAATTGAGCTCCATCAAGCTCCTGTTGTCATAAAGCTCGGAAGGATAAACCACGCTGTGGGGTATCCTCTGGTAATGCACTCATACTCAATTTCATATCATTCTGATGTAAAGGGAGAAAGATTGAGCCACGCTGTGGGATGTGCATTCGCTGCCTGTTTGGAGCGGAAGCAACGTAGGGACAAGGAGTGCAGTGTCACCATGACCTTTGACACCAAGACCTCGACATTCACGAGGAGTGGCAGTTTCAGGCAACCGAGTCTCACTGAAAGACTGCAGGATAGTCGAGAAAGAGCAGTTGGTAGGTTGAATACATATTTTAGCATTTCATGTTATTCAAACTCAAAGGAAGCGAGTGCTCTCATTAAGTCAACGAATGTCGGTGGCGAGGGGTTTTCGTGGGAAGACACTCCATTTATAATTTCTATTTCGAAGAGCATAATTACTTTGACTTGGGTACTTAATTTAATAATAGTCAACGTTTAATTGATTATTTTGGTGGTGAAGACGAAAAATTCCGACCAAATATCAAAAGAACTCTTTTTTTACGGGGAATTCTCTCGCGGAAAAAAACTTTTTTGTTTTTTGACGCTAAATTTTTCAAGTCCTATTCTCCACATGATTTTTCCGCTGGAATCCGATTCTGTAGGTTAACATAGTCCCGATCGCTTAAAATTCAGTAGCGAAGCGGTAAAACGGTTCAAGTCAATTTTAACTATTGACCAGTTTTCAATGAATACACTGTTAGAAATTTGTGAATCCGATTTAGGAAAAAAATGGCAATTAAATTTCAAATTTTAGGTAGAATTCCAGGAAATTCATGAGTTTTCAGTGGGAATGAGACAGAAATTTCACAACTTAATTAAATTTTCAATTGACCATGAATATTTAGAAACAAAATGACATAAATTTTCAATTTTTCCAATAAAAATCGCCTTTTTAATTAAAAAATGAAACTTCTGCTGATCCATTCGGAAGCTTACTACCAATGGAATTCGTAGAAATAAAAAATGAAAAAGACAAGTAACACATCAAGTAACGGTCACATGCCTTGTGACAGAAAGGCTCGACCCCCTGCTCGACCTACTTAAAAATAATTGATTTTTTAAATCTGAGAGATGAAGATATTCCCTTCACTTTGATACAACTTTTATTCCACCAACCCATGTTCATTATTTAGAAATGAAATAGACAAAATGCACCAATGCATGCGCTAACATGCGCTCATATGGGATAGAATCATTCAAATATTTTCTCTTTCTGCCTGGGTACCCCAGATTTTCCTCCGGCCATTGGATTCAGTATGATTTTACACATTACCTTCTATTTTTAGAGTCTTCTAGTAGGTGAATTATCAATTTCAACATAAATTTCATAAGAGCCCGTGTACCAAGAAAAATTAGTTTATTCATTTCTGCCGAGACTATTGCGATTAATTTTTTTAACGTTAGAAAAGTTGGTTTCATATGTTCTGCTGTCAGCCGAAAAAATTCCAGAATTTTCCTTGACCATGAAAAAAACACATTTACCGACAATTCACCGATACTGGCTAAACATCCTCAATCATAACAAGTCGGAAATTTTTCTAATATTGAAGAATCGGGAGATTGATGGCCACTCCTGAAAGTAACGACGCTTCCAATTGCAATTGCAGATGTTCCACCAGTCAGACAAGTGCACAACCCCTTTGCAATAGAACGGCCGCACGCGACCCCATCGATGCTGGAGCGTCAGGGGTCATTCCGTGGATTCAATCAATTGAATCAGGCATCACCATTCAAAAGACAACTGAGTCTGCGCGTCAATGATCTTCCCAGCAATTTGGAGCGGACACGTAGCCATAGTTTAGAACCCACCGATCTCACACGTCTGCCACCGCTGCCGCACATAATGCCCCTCAGACCTCCAGGTAAACATCATTACAATTACTCCCCCTTTTATGAACTGCAAACAATCTGGTGGATTGGTTCGATTGAACTCTGAATGCACTTTACAGGAATGTGATTTTTTTCACTTTTAATTGGGGATGTCATGGGTTCTCCCTGACATTTTAATGAAACAAAATTTTTATTTGATTTTTTTTCTCTTTGTTTGAACGGTAAATTTTTGAAAATATTGAACACTGATTTATTTAAATGAAAATGCTTCAATTGTATGAAGTACATAATTCATGAATTCCAGATGAATTGTCTATTGAATTGAAATAAATGATTTATTTGATCGAAATGAAGGACTATTACGTGTTAAAAGGTTTGTTTTTAATTAACAAATGCCCAAAAAAATTCAATAGAAAATTCTATTGGATTTTTAACGAAGTTCTATGGAAAATTCTACTAGTTTTTGGTTGATTCCATTGAAGAGTTCCTCGAGTTTACGGCGTGTTTTCTCGTAGAAAATGTCCAGCAGAAACTATTTTATAGACGAAAGTTTATAGAATTTCATTTTTCTATACAACTTTTCATATTGAGGGCATTTTCTATAGGAATTACTTATCACGAATTTTCCACGTTTTTTCGACTCTATTTTTCTTCGAAAATTTCAATTGCGGCATTTCTATAGAAAGTATCTCAATAAAGTATTGAAAATATTCTGCTAGTTCTTTCCCGATTGTACTGAAGAATTCCAGATCTTTACTGCACATTTTTGAAATAGAAAAGGTCGAATTGAAACTATTTGAGAGTTTAATCTTTCTATTGAGATTTTTCTATAGGACTTCCTTAATATGAATTTCTGAACTTTTTTCGACTCTATTTTCCTTCTCTTTTCATTGAAAAAATCAAATACTAAATTTGAGCCGAGGAATTTCTATAGAAAATATCTCAATAGAATAAGCTGTATAGAAAAATCGAATTCTATTAATTTTTTCCATAGAATATTTTTCATTTAACATTTCCATTGAGGAAAATGCGCAGATAGCTGCGCAACTTAATAGAATCAGTCAAAAACTAATAAACATTTCAATAGAAATCCAATAGAATTTTTTAGCTCATTCCAATTAAATTCTTCGCGAGTTCCACTAGAAATTCCATAGAATTTATTGAAGCAAGATTATTCTATTCACCTTTAACACGTAAACAAATATTAAACACTTACAAAACTGAATCTAACGACGACACGCACAAAAAAAATTCTTGAAAAAACCTAACAACTTCCATAGAAAATTCTGTTGAATCTCTACTGAACTTCTTTTGGCCGATTCTATTGAGCAAGTCTAGTAGAAATTATTTTATATAAAAAAATTAAAATGTCATCTTTCTATACGACTTTTTCTATCAAAACATTTTCTGTAGAAATTTCTCAATATGAATTTTCGACGTTTCATCCACCCTATTTTCTTCCTCTTTTCATTACAAAATCGATTTTTTTTAACGTGGAAAATTGAGCCGACGAATTTCTATAGAAAATATCTCAATAAAATAACTTATATAGAAGAATTGAATTCTATGAATTTTTTCTATCAAATATTTGCCATTAAGGCCCGGGTGTACTATCTTTCGAACGTTATCTCGATGTTTTTTTTCATCTTTCGTCATATGAAATTGTCAATTAAGTCCTGCATCAGCAGAAGTTTTGAAAAATTATGAATGAATAATCAAAAAAAAGTAGAAAAAATTCTTAATTTTTTCAAAGAGCATTTTTAATTTATATTCAGAATAAGTTGAATAACAAGAAATTGAAAAATGTATCTGATTTGCGGTGACAAATGGCGTTATCCACCATGGAAAATGACAGCTAATAGATAATTTGCCACAGCGAATCAGATATTTGTAATTTCCACTTTTTTCAACTCATTATGAATCTCAATTAAAAACGCTCTTTGAAAAAGTTCAGAATTTTTTCTATTTTTTTAATCATTCTATCATAATTTTTGGAAATTTCTACATGATGTACCACTCAATTGATAATTTTGAATTACGAACGAAAAAAAATCCAGATAACATTCGAGATAGTACACCCGGGCCTTAAACATTTCTATTTAAAAAAACACCGATAAACTACGCAATGGTTCAATAGAATGGACCAAAAACAAACAGAAATTTCAGTAGACATCCAACGGAATTTTCTATCGAATTCACTATGTTTTTCTATGAATTTTTTTCGCACGTGGATACTGGATAACGAATCTATCCCAATACAAACGAATCAATTATATTACAAGCGAACTATTTAATACTCATGACATCCTCACATTGATGAAAATTCACAGATTTCACGGACAACACAATTAACAAAGCTGTTTCACTCGACTTGATTCTGCAAAAAAAAAATGCTGAAATTAACGCTTCGATTTTTCTTTCAAAGCAGACTTTGATGGATATGGCGAAGGTCATTCTCTCATTACGCTAATTACTCCCTCAATGTTAAGCCTTCCTGAAAAAAATGCATCCCCATGTATTAGTACCCAGTAGCAAACAAAGCATCCTCAGCTCCCAATAATTTTGTCGCCCTGAGAGCAGCCGTTGTACTAGCTTCCGAATGAAAGAATAATAGTTTCATTTGTTCAGAAGTCAATGAGACTGAACACAAATGATAATGGCTTGCTTCAACGGTTGTTCGTTCGCATTTCAGTGAGTCCGATACCTGAAATATCGCCCAGTGGACAGGACAGTCTTTCGGCGCTGTGCGCACACATATCCCACGACCTCCAGCTTCTATCGAGGCAAGATGACTTTGGACCGTTGCCATCAAACTCGGCGTTGAACTCCGCAACTGAGCAACTATTTACAACCACTACAACTACGCAAGGTAATAGCTTCTCTGGTATCGTCGGGTGAAGGGATTCGGGGAGTTTCAGAGTTGCTTTCATTACGCAAATTGCGAGATGAGTTGTGAAAAAACTCGTAACAACTAAAGTCAGAGAAATTAGGTATTGAGTCGAATAAAACTTTTCTCTTTCACAAGATCTATGCGCGCGCTGATCTATTTATTTGTTGAAATAAAGAAATGGAATTCATTGAATTTCATGAGTTAAAGAGACCTTTAATGAGTTCAATAAACTTACCCACTTATTTCAGTGCAAATGTTTCAATTATATAAAATAAGTAATTAATTCATAAAAAAAATTATGAGAATTGTATAAACATACTGATAAATTTCTTTTTTTCATCATCGAAACCATTATTTCATTTCTGATTAATCAAGTTTTGATTTGCATCAAGGGAACATTTATTCACATTTACAAACCTATTTATTTCATATGACTGAAAAGGCCAATAAAAATCAAATTTAAGTTTGAATAAAAGTTCAAGTAGTTGTTGAAATTTAACAAAAATCTCTAATTTTCACGAGTTGTTAAAACTACAAGTAAAGCAATTATTTACAATCACTACAACTACGGAAGGTACTAGGTTCTCTGGTATCATCGGGTGAAGGGATTCGGGGAGTTTCAGAGTGGCTTTCGTTACACAATTGCGGGATGAGTTGTGAAAAAACTCGTAACAACTAAAGTCAGAGATATTACGTATTGAGTTGAATACAACTTTTTATTTGTCATTTTTCTATGCATTTCAACAATATTAATGAGTTCAATAAAATCATCCACTTATTTCAATGCAAATGTTTCAATTATATCGTCGCTCTAAAGGTGAAGGGGCGTAAGTGCCAGGAAACAGTGTTTCCAAAGTGAAAGAGGCGTATGTCCCAAATTGATGGTTTTTATGCTTTTCATACAATTTCTGAACAAAAACCTATCAACGAAAATATCTCTAATAAACAGGCGTAATGACCAGATTTTAATGGGACAGGAGCGTATCTCCACACTTACGCCTCTTTCATTTTAATCAATAAATCACACTTACGCCCCTTTAGTGTTATGTATGAGGCACTTTCCATGACGTATTTATTTTTGAGTTAAAATGAGAGGCGTATGTCCCCCTTACGCCTCTTTCCTATTATAAAAGCAATTCTCTTCATAAATTACTCCGGGCTCTTCATCCTGGAAGATATTCACAAAATAGTAGTCAATTCTACCTTGAATCTATTCTTTTTCTCTACTCCTTCGGAGCGTGCCCAGAAAAGGTTTCGGGTTGAAACATCTAATTTTCGATGTTGTTCGAGATTCTTTTTTTAAATGAACAAAGGGTTGAAACGGGTAAAATTTGATTTCTATGATGTGTACATTCACGAGAAGACGGGAATCCAGTGGACAATGGAGTAATCATAATACATTTCGAGACTTTCCAATGAAAGGGAAAAATACTTATTTTTCTCAGTATCATTTGAATTTCTGCTATGTACGGGAGTTACGCCTCTTTGTGATTATGATTTTTTAGGATGGATAAAAAATTGAATGAATGACTAAAAACAAAGGGGCGTAAGTGCTCGACTTACGCCCCTTTATTATTAATTTTCCTTCACGTAAATTAGAATATTATCAGTAAGGATAACAGTAAAGGGGCGTAAGTACCGGACATACGCCTTCTTAGTGTTTACTGATTGGACTTACGTCCACTTGGCGTAAAAAAAATTGACGAAAAACCTAAGATATAGACAGAAAANGAATATTATCAGTAAGGATAACAGTAAAGGGGCGTAAGTACCGGACATACGCCTTCTTAGTGTTTACTGATTGGACTTACGTCCACTTGGCGTAAAAAAAATCGTGAAAAACCTAAGATCTAAGATATAGACAGAAAACTCCATTTCCGAAGAAAAAAAAACATACGCCCCTTTGGTATCGAAAAAAAAAATCGAAAAATAATGGCACTTACGCCCCTTTACTTTTAGAGCGACGATATGGAATAGATAATGAATTAATTTTAAACAAAACTATCAAAATCGAATAATCATATTAATAAATTTGTTCTCGTTATCATCTAAACAATGATTTCATTTCGAGCTCATCAAGCTTTTATTTAAATAAAGAAAACACCTTCTCATATAAAAAAAAAAACTCATATTTATTTCAATGGAAATGTCTTACCAATATTCAATGATTCGTTCCTTCTAAATAAGTCCTCTATTAGAATCAAACCAACGATTTATTTGATCCAAATGAAGGATTATTACATGTTAATGACGTCTTTATTCGGATTAAAAAACATTTTTTCATATTCAAAGAACTATTCATTCGAAGCGAATAAATAGGAAATAAAAAAATCAACGTTCAAAGCATGAAACACGACATTCCCGACTCCCTTCCAAAGTAACAATCATTAATATTTAATAATCATCAATCAATAATATATTTCCAGTGAAAACTAGTTCATCCCTCGACGACCTGAACCTCCAGAACGGTTCGAGCACCCTGAATAACAACATAAACAAGAACCCGAACATAAATAACAACGACGAGGACATGAACGTCACCATAAGCACAACCCAAGTGGAAGTGACCTGGAGAGACCGCCAGTCCCCAGTGATGACGAACCCCCGGCTCACCCCAGTCCTGAACTCCACCTGCAATTTGACACCAATAATGAGCAGATCCCACGCCTCGACACTCATGTCGACACCAGCCCTTTCAGGTATACTCATTAGAACGATCATATGATTTACACTGCGAAAAATTCCCGTCCGAATTTTCCGTGCCAAATCCCGGAAATTGTTATCGTATTCAATTTCCACAGAAATTTCAGGAAATCGTTACATTGAAAAATCAAATCAGTAGAGAAGCGGTGGTTTTTAATGAATATCTCGAAAGCTAAGGAGATAGCAAATTTTTTGTAAGAACATTGTTAGAGATTGAGACTATTATTAAGGCGGATCGGGGACACGTGATATGGAAAGAGTGAAAATTAAAGACACGCGGATTACAAAACACTGGTGATGTACTTTATTTGTGGCGCAAGCCACGCGTCTTGATTTCAGGGATACACGAATTGATGAATGTCTCAATATCAATTTGATAATAGTCTTTACACTGCACTAGAGATTCTCTCGATATTAAACTTGATGATTGACTCAAAATAATTGATAGTTAACTCGGAATTGATTGATAATTGAATCAAATAGAGACGCTACGCAGAGCGCTAGGCTCAATATAATACTCGGTGATGTACTGGATACTCGGTAACCGATGTATACTCTTTGAAGAGTAGATTGATACTACTGAAAATTCATATTTGGCGATTTGCTTCGTGATTTACGCGTGATCCCAAGGGTCCCGAGGTCGTTCGAGATTTTCCGTTGAGCCCGGTAATTTTTATAGAGAAATATTTGCTGCGTTTCAAACAAACATTTCTTGTAGAGCAAATTGAGAGCTACAAAAAAAGGTTATAATGAAAATTTCGCTATTTCTCTTAGATTCGGCGATATTCCTTGAAAACTCAGCGAAGAGCTAAGTCGACTTAAACCGGTTTACCTCTTCGCTACTGAAATATTCCATTGATTTTTTATTCGAATGATTTGAAAATCAATAAAACTTGATTTTTCAGCCCAATTATTCTGTGAAAATTCGTAAAAGTCAGAAACATTCAGGGAAAAATGGAAAATTTATGTCATTTTGCTTTTGCAAATTCATATTCCATTGAAAATTCAATCAAGTTGTGCAATTTTCATCTCACTCCCACTGAAAACTCATGAATTTCCTTGAATTCTACCTAAAACTTGAAATTTCATAACCATTTTTCCCCCTAAATGCGATTCAATGTCACTCTCATGAGAATTACTCTCACGTCTTCCATGAAATTAAAAAAAAATTATAATAGTGTAAGGTATATCCCTAGAAAACAGGTTTTTCTCACGATTGTCCCCATATTTTTCATAGACACACGCAGAGGAGAGTGGGGCAAAATGAAACAGTCAAAAGCAACTGTTTGGTGCAATTCAAGCAAAAAAAATTTTTTCATTAACTATTTTGTTTCCATTAACCCCTCAAGGACGGGGTCCATATACATATATGGGCCCAAGCAAAAACGCATGATTCTGTTCAAAACTGGATAATTCAAAAACTGACAGATAATCCAATTCGGCCATTGCCATTCGAAATGTGGATAGTGTAGCTTCAATTTTAATGCGTTTTATAATTTTTCATGCATCAGAATTTATCGAATCTCAGTGATATTAAGTGCACGTCAGGCTTCCTAACAGAAAGGTCCCGTACGCGAGGGGTTAATTTTTGTTTATTAAATTTTTTTATTAATATCACAAATTTCGTTCATGTGATTTACGGAAAACTCAATTTAAACATCGGCTTCATTCGAAAAAAAAACATTCAATTAATTCCTCAATGTAATCATCTCCTAGGTACAATTTTTTGATCAATTCATGAAAGTGGAAAAATTTCTCGACCGGAGATTATATCAGGTTAAAAAAATACAATTTTTCCATTTTTGTGGTGAATACATGTGACTTGACGCCAAGGACTTGTTTTATTTGATTCAAGCACGGACGAAAAAATTTAATAGAAAAACATATCGAATTCGTTAGAAAATTCTATTGAATTTCTATTCAACTGTTCTGTTAGTTTTTGGCCGATTTTATTGAAATGTTCAATAGAAAATGTTCAGTAGAAAAAGTCAACAGAATTCAATTTTTCTATATAACTTATTCTATTGAGATATTTTCTATAGAATTTCCTCGGCTCAAATTTTCCAAGTTTTTTCGTTTAAATTTCTTGATAAGAAAAAAATAAAAATAGAATGAAAAAAACTTTGAAAATTTGAGTCGAGCAAATTCTATAGAAAATATCTGAAAAGAATAAGCTATATAGAAAAATCAAATTCTGTTGACTTTTTCTATTGAACATGTCAACAGAATCAGCCAAAAATTAATAGAAAGTTTAATAGAAATTCAATAGAATTTTCTAACGAATTCGATAGGTTTTTCTATTCAATTTTTTCGTGCGTCCGTAAATGTATCCCAAGAAAAAATAATTGATATTCACCGTAAGATCTTATTTATTTGAAATTAGTTCAAGTCTATAATACTTGTTTCAATACAGAAACATTTCAATAAAAATAATTTCTTCTATCACTGTGGGATACACCATTAATCTTCAAAATTCAAGTTATGTTTACACTACTTTACTCCGAAAATAGTACTGAACTGATTACGTCTGATCCTCTCTCTCAGGTAGTGCAGTGGGCCCCTTCGGCACTCCCCCAACAGGCAGTCCAGCCTTCAGCACTGCCTCCACCTCCTCCATGGGCAGTTCCATCCCCTCGACCGCCAACAGATCCCCCATCCCCATTAATCCAATAACTCCAGTGACAAGTTCACCGAATGTCAGTGGATCCACCACAATCTCCACCGACACAAGCGCAATTGAAAAAATCACGACGACAGACCTTCCGAGACCCGATCAATGGCTTGGAAGTGTCACTGGGGCTGTGGCACCTGTGCAAACACCTAGGAGAGCACCACCTCTTCATGCAAGAGCCCTGTCACTGGGTTCAGCCAGTGTGCCTGGTGCCACTGGTGCTAGACCCAATGATCCATTCGACGCCGAGTGGGCGGAAATTGCTGCGAGAAATCTTAGACAAGCCAGTGCTGCTACCAATCCATTCATTGTTCCCAATGCAACGCAAGCGTTTCAGGTGCAATTGTAGCGTCAGGAATTTAATAACAGCATTGCTGATTTCTACAGAAAGTATATTTAGGGAGGGGAGGGGAGGCTTCTTCGAGGTGGCAAATTCACGTTTAAGAAAATTTGAGGGCCGCGTGTGTTATATTTCGAACGTGATCTTGGTCGTTTTTTTTATTTTGATGATCTGAAATGTTCTCCAATTGCCATTCAGTTTTACATAGACCTGGAGCCTCCAAAAATTGTGATTGTGTAATTTAAAAAACGTTGAAAGAAAACTGAACATTTTCACAGAGTGTTTTTTTATCATATTGGGAAATAAATCCAATAGGGAGGACATTGCAAATTAATAACACGGTTCAACAAAATTCGGACGTATTCAACCTCGAAAACGAAAACGGCCCTATCTTGGAGATATTTTAATACTGATTCTAAATTTCTTTTGAGAAATCTCTCTAGCACGTCTAGTTTTCGAGAGAAAAAATGTTGAAATGTTGAAAAATGGCTAAAATGAGCAATCTGAAAAATTAGTAAAAAAATGAATTTGGACGTAGTTTTTCTCAGAAAAAAACCTATGAATTAATAAAGATGCGATTTGTTTAGTGGATCCGATTTCGTTCCAATTGGTTGAGTCAAAACGAGCGCAAAAAATCCTGAAAAATTCCCGATTTCATGATTTTTCTTGTGAAATCAAATGACCCGAAGTTGGTGGCACACTCTTTGAGACACGCGAATTTCAAATCTATCTACACCCGTGTGTGAACCTCGGCTTGACTTAACAACGTCTGAATTTTATCGAACTGTTTAATTTACTGCATATAATGGCTTCCTAGTAGCCAATGGCTGTCAGATCGTTAATTGCCATGATAAATTATCCTTTCACTATTTCCTCTCTATTGAACTTATTTCCTAATTGTTATTAACAACGCCTTTTGAAATTTTTAGTTTTTTATTTACTTTTTTTGTGCAATCATAACTTTTGGGAACTCCTGTGTGATGTAAAATTCAACGGGAATTGTGATATATTTTAAATTATGAAGTTGAAAAAACAATCGATATAAATAGAAAAAAATTGCGCTTTCTCTAAGAAATTCTATTGAATTTCTATTGCAACTCTATAAGGACTCTGTTGGTAGATTCTATTCGTTTTTTGGCGCCAATTCGATCAAAAATTATGCAACACCCCCGCATTTTTAAATAGATATTTGTTTATAGAAAAATGTCTGTAGATCCACAGATTTTTCTGTGTTACTTACTCTGTTAGGATCTTTTCTATAAGAATTTTTGGGCATCCGTTCGTTCATGTTGGAACGAAAAATCCTGCAAATTTGCGCCTAAGAATTTCTAAAGACCAAAAAAAAATCTGTTGACTTTTTTCTATTAAATCTCTTAACAAAATGACACAATAAAGTTACATAATCTGCTATGTATTTTTTTAAAGAATTTTAATAAAATTTTGCGATAGCTCGCACAGAGTTGAATAGAAATTCAATAGAATTTCTTAGAGAAAGCGTTTTTGATTTGAGAGAATTGAGAGATATTTCCAGAGGAATGAAGCTTTGAATTCAAGGAAACACTTTATTTGAAATTATTTCATTTATCTCGACAATAATTTTGTTGAAAACTAATTACCAGTGGAAATTATTTGATTATGTGTATCAAATAATTCATTCATTCCAAATAATTCATTCATTGGATTCATCTAAACGATTTATTTGATTTGAAGTAAGGAATTATTGGATGATAATGAAGTCTTCATTTGGGTCAAGAAAAAATTTGTTTAGATGTTTAAAAACTATTCACTTAAGGTGAATAAAAACGCAAATAAAAATTAAATCCAACTAAAGGTAATTTAATTCAAAGAAATTATTTGTCTTGGTGTTTTTTTCATTCAAGTATGAAAAAAGTTGATGAAAAATTTATTTGATTAAAAAAGAGCCACGTGACTTTGCACTCTTTAAAGAAGATCAAATTTAATTCATTCGATCATTTTCGATGTTTCGATCTCAAATTATGAAGTCGCGTCAGGATAAAATCCCATAGAAACATTTAATGAAGTCAGTGAGAATTTATTTCAAAGGAAAAAGTAGATATCATCAAATGAATTTCAATTTAGTGAAGAAATCCGAAGCTTCGACTAGGAGATTTCCCTGAAATTCTATTCGTTTTTTGCTGATTTAATTTGAAAATCTCATTCTCATCATAATATTTTCCCAAATTTTCGAGTAAAAAATTCAATAGATTTTGATTTTTCTGTATGATGCATTCTCTTGAGATTTTTGCGTAAAAAAATTTTTGGGTATAAAATATCTAATTATTTTCCACTGAATTTCTTGTTCCTCAGCATGGAATTTACAGAAAAAATCACATCAGAATAAGTTGTGCAGAAAAATCAACATTTATTTACTGTTTCCTATCAAATATCAATTTCAAAAAAATCCCAAAGCTGCATAATTTTCATTAGAAATCGGGAAAAAACAAATTCTTCACACAGTCACATGAATAAAAAAACTGGTGAAATTGTTTCTCTTCAAAACGATGAAATAAAATAATTTCTCAATTGATGAAATAATCAATAAAAAAAATTGTCTCTCAATTTTCTCTCATTGAAAAACAATTTTTGCCACCTCAGTGATGAAAAAAGGCTCATTTTCGAAATAAATATAATCCGAAATAACCGTGCACTGTGGTATACTCTTGAGCTAGTCCTAGAAGCGCACAAAAGCACAGTTACTTACGACTAAAGATGATTAACTTAATAAAAAAAGAGCAAGAAAAAAAACTCGACTAATGAGATATTATGACCAACCGCTTTCAGTCGAATATGAGCGGCACTTGTTGATATATTACGCTTTAATGCCGCATTTGTGTACTAAATAATTAAAAAATAATACTGATGGATATGTAAAAAGGAGACTAACGAACAAAATAAGGGGAGAAAAAATTACGAGAAATTGGAAGGAAATTCAGTGCTTTTTTGATGATTAAAAAATGAGGAGGAGAATTATTATATTTATATGCACCATCAACAGAAACTCTGCACGATGTTGATTATTAAAAATTGATAAGAGGAGAATGCATAATGATGTACTTAGGCTTCCTTCCTAGAAAAGCGATTTATATAAATAAATAGTTGATAACTACAGGCATGGAAATGAAATTATGAAGAGAACACTCGTACAGTATTTGATCGGGTTAACAATAATCGATTTATTAACCGTTGGGCTCATTGTTACAAACAAAACAAATATATATTATATATAAAGATAATGATTAATGACGTCGTGGGGGGATGGGGCAGGATGGAACTGTCGACTGAGAGAAATGTCAGGAATGATTTAATTAAAAGTTGAAGCCATAGATGAAATTAATCATGGAAATGGTAGTGCTTTCCTTAGAAAATTCTATTGAATAATTTTATTGTTTTTTGTGTTAATTCTATGGAACATTATAAAACTTGATCGTATCATTTTTTCATAGATATTTGATAGACAAAAGTCAATTGAAAAGTCATTCTTCTAGAGAAATTTCGTGGGCATAAATTTTCGATGAGTTTTTTTGCTGTTTCTTTAAAATTCTTTTGAAATTATAAAATTTAAAAAAACTGGGGAAATTCGCGCCCAAGAATTCTTCTAGAATAAATCCCAACAGAATAAATTATAGAGAGTAAATCATCATCTGTAGATATTTTTCAATAGTAATTTTTTTTTCTGTGAAAAAATACGCATTGAAAATATAATCAATCCTAATTTTTTTCTCTAATTTTCTGAATTTTTTTTATATAAAAAATCATCTATTACAAAACGATTGAATAAAAGAAAATGTCTATAATATTTTTTACATAAAAAATATTGAAAAACGCACAGCCAAGCTGCATGATTTTCAATAAAATTTTCGCAAAACACTAATTGAATTTTTTGAATAAAATTCTATCTAATAGGACACTCAAAGAATTCTTATAGTTTTAATGGGAATTCAGTAGACTTTTTCAATGAAAGCACGAAATTTTTTTATTAAATTTTTTCACACGTTCGAAAATACGTTCAACAGGTTTGAAAAATTTTCATGTCATTCGACATTTTGTTTCAAACGAATACATCAATTGGCATTTATAATGGGAACGGTAGCGCTGTTCTTAGAAAATTCTATTAAATAACTCTATTGTTTTTTGCTAATTCTATAGAAAATTATCCAACCTGATCGTGTCATTTTTCAATAGAGATTGGATAGAAAAAAGTAAATAGATTCTCGTTTTTTTTCGTAGAAATTCATGGGTATAAATTTTCCATAATTGTTTTTTGCTCTGTTTTATTTATTCTTATGTCATTATAAAATAAAAACGAACTTGGAAAATTCATGACTAAGAATTATATAGAATAAATCAACACCTATAGATGTTTTTCAATAGTATTTTTTTTCTATGAAAAATACGTATTGAAAAAAACAGTATTTATTTTCTTCTGTAATTTTCTGAGATTTTCTTTCTATAAAAAAATATCTATTGAAAAATGCAAAGCCAAGTCGCATGATTTTCAATAAAATTTCCGCAAAAAACTAATTGAATTTTTTGAATAAAATTCTATCTAATAGAACACTAAAATGGGAATTCAATAGACTTTCTCACAGAAAGCACCAAATTTTTCTATTAAATTTTTGCACACGTTCAAAAATATGTTCAACAGGTTTGCACCATCTTCACGTCATTCGACATTTTTTTCAGACGAATCAATCAATAAAAAATCCTTCGAGATGATCCATTTTGCCCCAGCATGTACGTGAATTTTATCAGTATTGGCGTCACGTGGCTTTCTACCCAGAGAATAAAACTAGCGGCGCACCTTTTTGGATTATCTTTTTATGGAAAAATAAACAAAAACTAGTGAAATTGTAAGAAAAATGAAGAAAAAGGGGATAAAAATGGACGGTGGATATGAATGACTGCCTCAAGTGAAAAAGAAACTCAAAGTGAATTTTTTGAGATGAAAAATTCCATTTCTTTTAGACGCTTCCCAACTTTATTATACACGCATTGTACATAGAAAAAACTAGTTATTTAATTAACTATAAATTAAATGATTGTAAATTATGGAGAATTGCATTGGAAAAATTCACGGATTGAGAATTAATGGCCAGAGGTATGGAAAATCACTCATGGTTGATGAGATTTTTTCAATTCGAAAGAGTGATGAATTGTATCATGTACTTACCCCGAGCTGATGTGCTCCCACGATAACTGGGAAGACTTAAAAGAGAATATGAATACATATTAAATTAATGCAGGTATTGAACTTCAGTTTCTTTCTCTTCACGTGGGAAAAAAAAAATTATAGAAAAACATGGGGAATTCGTTGGAAAATTCTATTGGATTTTCATTAAACTTCCTACTAGTTTCTTGTTGGTTAATTAATTAATTTAATTGTGTTTTTTCCAATATAAATGTTCAGTGGAAAATATCTATATGGAAAAAATCAATAGAATTAGATTTTTCTGTACAAATTATTTTATTGAGATGTTTCTGTAGAAAATCGTCGGCTCAAATGTTCCGAGTTATTTTGCTTGATTTGTTTAATGAAAGAGGATGTTGAACTTCAGTTTCATTCGCCTCACGTGGGAAAAAAAATTATAAGAAAATCTGAAGAATTCGTTGGAAAATTCGATTTGGCTTCTATTGAACATTCTATTAGTTTCTGGTTGGTTAATTAATTTAATTGCGTTTTTTTCCAATAGAAATGATGAAAGGAAAATATTCTGCAGAATATTTGCTATAGAAATATTTGAGATATTTGCTATAGAAATTTCTCGTCTTAAATCTGCTAATTTTTTTTAGTTTGATTTTTTTTACTTAAACGAGAAAAAACAATAAATTTGGAAAAGGATTTCCTATCGAAAAGGTTCATAAAACGATTAAATTTTATTGACTTTTTTTCTATAAAATATTTATTATCGGCCAAAAACTGATAGAATTTTCAATAAAAGTTCAATAGAAATCCAATACAATTTTCGATCGAATGTGCTAGAAAATTCTATTGTAGTTTTATAGAAGTTCTTATCAATCTTTAATCGATTTTATTGTTTTTTTTTCTCCCAATAAAAATATTCAGTCATAAATACTCTATAGAAGACATCGATAGAATTTGATTATTATATATAACTTACTGTTCTGACATATTTTCTATAGAAATTCCTCGGCCGAAATGTTTCACGGTTTTTGTTTGATTTAATCAAAAGAGTAGAAAAATGGTATAGAAAGATGAAATTTTACTGAGTTTTTGTATAAAATAGTTTGTTGGACATTTGCTATAAAAAATGTGCAGCAAAGCTGCGGAACTCTCCAATAGAATCGCCCAAAATTAAAAGAATTTTGAAAAGATGTTCAATAGAAATGCGAAAGAAATTTCTATTCAATTCGCTATAAAATCCTATTGAAAATTCTATTAGTTTGAAAAATATTCTATAGAAGAAATCAATGGATTTCAATTCTTCGTTTCGAGGAAAAAAGGAGCAAAATAGAGTGGAAAAAACTTGGAAAATTTATGTCGAGAAAATATCTCAATAAAAAAAATTGCATCGAAAGATTCTACCGATTATTTCCATAAAATAGTTTCTAGTGGACATTTTTTATTGAAAAAAGGCGCAGAAAAGCTGCAGGATTCTTCACCAGAATCGTTCAAAAATAAATAAAATTTTCAACAAAATTTCAATAGAAATCCACTAGAATTTTCCATCGACTTCGCCAGGTTTCTCTAGAATTTTTTCGTCTGTATTCTGTCCTATGATTTCTCTCAGTTTCATATTGAGCACGCTATCGCACCTATGTACTACATTCCTAAACGAAAATAGTATTCCTCTCGATGATGAGCATACGAGTCTCATCATCGAGAATATTTCATTGTTAGTGAAGTAAAACGAATGGAATGAAAAACCTGAATGTTTTTCAATCATAACAAAAAAAAGAGGAAATCACTCTCTGTCTCTCTCATTGTTAATTAGTTTAATTACAATTAAATTATTGTCGAAGAGTGCTGTAATGATTCATCTGATGGATGATTTCAGGTGAGAGAACTCGAAGGTGAATTAAGAAAAACGTACAATAAATCAAAAGTAAATTAAATGGAGTAGGAATAACTCATTTAAGCACAACTGGTACTTACGACATTTGTGTACTTAAGGATGATGCATACGTAAATGTAAAAAGGGGGGAGGGAGGATGACTATTGCCATTGGAGAATTGAGGGATTGGTGGAAGGTATCTTAAACTCGTCTTCTGTACAAATTATTTTCATTACGTTCTACTTGAAATTATTCCCTCGTGGTTGCGAGAATTTTCCTTTCTCTCCCTCTGTTTCTCGTTTTTTTTCTTCGGTTGATAATGAAATGTTTTGGATGAGCAATGTCAGGATCATTGAGAACGGAGGGGAGAGAGGAGTCGGTGTATATAATTGTGTGAGAGAGTTTAAGAAATATGGATTATTTTATAATTGAAAAATGGATAATGGATGATGAGATAATTCCGTCGAATAATGTAACTTGTTCGTTCTGCAATGTAACAGCGACTGTAAAAATATGGTTTATTATAACATTTGTTGTGATTATGAAAAATTACTTGTCGATTTATTTCAGCCCTTTTGTTTTTTAAATTTGATTTTTCTTTGGAAATTCTACGGAAATTATGTTGATATTTCAGTGGAATTCAGTCAGTTTTTAATGAATATCTCGGAACCTAAGGGAGATAGCAAATTTTTTGTAATAACCTCTTTTTGCAGAGCGGATTGAGAGCTACAAAAAAAGTTATAATGAAAATTCGCTGTTTCGCTTAGATTCGGAGATATTCTTCGAAAACTCAGCGAAGAGCTAAGTCGACTTAAATCGGTTTACTGTCTCGTTACTGAATTGTGTTGAAAGTCTAATAGGATTAGTGCTTTTCTCAACCATGGGTCAGAAATATTTATTCCATAAAAAATGCTGTCAGGAAGAAAAATGCTAATCTATATTTTTTTTAATCAGAAAAATGTCTGGAATTAATCATGAAAATTCCGATGAATGCAAACTCTAAATTTTCTGCACTCTAAAGACAACAGTTTTAATCATGCATTTTTCCATTATCTATGGAATTTTTATAATTCTTAGAAACAAACTGTATGAAACAAATCATCAGAATTTCGATTATTTCAAGATCATTTTTCCCATAGGAGCATAAACACTTTTTTGAGAAGAAGTTTCTCAAATCTATAGACTTTAAAATTCCAGACTTTTTTCTCTCGAATGACTTCCCTCAAGAATTCCCCAGGACCCCCAATAAAAAACACACAATTCCCTCTCAATTCATCAATTACGTGCATTTATTAATCTCCCGTAAAAGCGCAAAAATACACGTGTAAATGACATAATGAAACCAGCGAATCTCTCCATTGAAATAAAAAAAAATCCAACAGACCTATCACCCAGTCCTCACACCTCCCAACTCTTGACCCTCTGTTCACTCTTGATAACCCCCCAATTGGGCGACTGTTTCTCATAACTCAGCCAGTTAAAATCATCGACAGAGTCCCAATTATTAACTTTAACATCCAGGCCAGCTAGCTTAAAATGACTCTCCTGATCCTCGTAACTCCAGTTGTAAGGTGCCACCCTAATCTTCGTGCAGTCCTCAATGATAGCTCTACTCGTCACATGAAGGTAAATGGACAAGTCCGTCGAGGAATGAAGTCGCAACTGTTGGCAGGCGAATGCAAACGTCGATTGTGTGCAACTGTGGGCAAACACTGATGACGACACTGGACCAATCAGCACTGTGCACTGCTTTATGTTCACCATATGAACAGTGGAAGGTGCACCATAAATAACAACTGTACATCTCGTCAAATCCGACAGTAAAACATCATTTTTATTGACATTTTCAGCATCGAGAATCAGTCGTTCATCAGTTTTTCCAGTTACTGTGCTTGCACTGTCGCTGAATTTACCTATCAGATCGTTATTCTGTCTCGTCGTGCCATTGCCCATTCCCTCGGAGAGGGTCATGTCTTTGAGGCCATCAGTGACATCAATTGTCTTCGTGTCCGACGGTTTCTTTATTACTCTTCTATTTTTGAAGCCAAATTTTTTCTTTGGAAGAAGCTTCATCTCCAACTCCGAGGCCTCGTTCTCAAGATGTTGGAGGGTCTCTTGAGCTCGTCTTATGTCGTAAACCTTGAGGAATATCTTCGATTGTGAGAGGTAATTCTTGAGGGTCAGGATCTCCTTGCTGGCTTTGTCGAAGAGACCTGGGAGGGAGGGGGTCGGGGTCGATGGGGCTGACTCCAGGAGGGATTTTATCTTGCTGCAGGAGGCGTAGAAGGCGTCCTTGAAGAAGCCCAACTGCTCGCTGTCGACAGTCAGCTGCTGTTTTTCCTCTCGTCTGCGCTCGATTATTGTCTTGCGCTCGCGGTCACGTTTGTTGATGCGCTCCGGAAGGCTGTCGGTGGCTATTAGCTCGGAGGACTCCATTTCTTGGATGAGGGCTATTTCTGAGGGGCCGGCGGAGACGATGGGGTAGGCTCGGAGGCTGGCATAAGCGCGGATTTCTTCAGGAAGGCCTGGTACGTGGGGATGTTCGAATTCTTCGGATATTGCTGGAAGGTAAAGGCGAGAGAGGGGTGAGTTAATGCGTTCAAGGACTTTTTTAGGGATTATTATTTCATTATTGACGTGGATACGTCTATGGTTTCAATATAGGGGGTCATTTTGGGAAACGGTCCTTATGTGCAGCGCCATCTAACGGAATTATAGAAAATTCTCGGCATTTCGAGATAATTTGAGAAGTTTCTTGAAATTTCGAAAAAATTCAAGGAGTTTCTAGAAAATTCGAGAAAATTCAAAAAGTTTTTTTTTTAAATTGACGCCTGTTTTTTTAGAGGGGGAGGTTCACCCCGGAGAGAAAACTTTCTCGTGGTCCCAGGAAAAATTTTTGAAAGATTTTTTCGCGTGATTTTTCCTCAGGAAGCAGATGCTGTAGGTCTACTTTGGAGGTTTTAAGTTTTTGTATGGGAAAGTTCAACTGCAAAAAAATCAACCTATTAATTTTGTCAATAATTTTTTGAAGAGGAAATTATTGAATATGAAATTTCATGGAAGAGCCATTTACCGCACCATTCCCCATATATTATTTCAGTTTTTTGCACTATTTTATGCGATCATAGCCCAGAATTTTGAAAATAGAAAATTGGAAATCAGTTCCTGCTCTGTTTGGAAGCACAAAATAGAAATAAAAATGAACAGAAAAATGATAATAACAGGTGATTTTCGCTGGATTCCTGTACATGTGGGGATTCGAGGTAATGAGGAGGTGGACTCCTTAGCAAAAAACGCAACGGAGGAAAGTGAAACACCTTTTTTACTTCCTGCCACAGACTTTAAAGCTCTATTCAAATCAGAAAGTTGGCTAGATACTACGAACACTATTCTAGGTGAATCTACAAGGGAGCGGAAACCAAAAGGGACATACTATTTTAGACATTTCTGGAATAGAAAAAAAAAAACAACCGTGGTTCTGGGGACAAAAGCTCCCGAGAGATTTAATTGTCTGGGTCAATAGAGTGAGAGCCAATCATTACTATCTTAATGGATCATTGTACAGGAAAAATATTGTAAGCAGCCCGGAATGCATTTGCGGAGATAACTCTGAGACACAAGATATAGAACATACAATTTGGTATTGTCCTCATTATAACAAAGGAAGGGAACAAATGATTAACAAATTGGTTGAATTACGATGCCCTAGACCATTTACCATAAATGCATTCCTGGTATCCAAGAATTTAAAACCATTAGAAATGATACATGAATTTGTTAAGAAAAATGGAATTAGAATTTAAAATAGCCGCACAGTTTTTGTAAATAACCCGAGAAGGGTTTGTACATAATAAAAAAAAAAAAAAAAACAGGTGATTTTCCAGGATTACACCCCAAGAAGAGTTTTCTTATTCGAAGTTACAATATAATCTAGAGTAATATTTTCCTGGGGTAAACATTCTCTTTTGGAGCAATCGTTGAAAAATAGAATGCAGAGAACATGAAGTCTAAAAAACTGTTCAATGGAGTAAGTTCCACTTACAATATTTCATGGAAAGTCCATTTACCTCCCATCCTATGTATTTCAGTTTTTTGTACCATTTTATACAATCATAGCACAGATTTTTGAAAATAAAAAATTGTAAAAACTTCTTGCTCCATTTGGAAGCATAACTTACGTGAAATAAAGATAAACAGAGAAATGATTGTAAAATTATTTTCCCAGGAGTAGACCTCAAAAGGAAGTTTTCGCATTCGGAGTCAAAATATAACTTAGGGCCATATTTTCCCGGGATAAATCTTCCATTTTGGAGTAATCGTTGAAAAATAGAATTTAGAGAACATGAATGTCTAAAAAACTGTTGACATTCATTGCATTGCATTGAATTCGTGTTATAATATTTCATGAAAGGTCAATTTACCTCATCATTCCTTACGCATTTTAATATTTTGCACCATTTTATGCAATCATAGGCCAAAATTTTGAAAGTACAAACTTCTAGCTCTATTTGGAAGCGCAAAATAGAAATAAGGATGAACAGAAAAATGATAATAATAAGTGATTTTCCAGGATTACACCCCAAAAAGAGTTTTCTTATTCGGAGTTAAAATATAACCCAGAATATTTTCCTGGGGTAAACATTCCCTTTTGGAGCAATGGTTGAAAAATATAATTTAGAGAACATGAATGTCTAAAAAACTGTTCAATGCATTAAGTTCTTGTCATAGTATTTCATGAAAGGTCCATTTACCTCACAATCCCCGATGTCTTTTATTTTTTTGCACCATTTGATGCAATCATAGCCCAGAATTTTGAAAATGGAAAATTTGAAAATGCAAAATAGGTAAAATAATGATAAACATAAAAATGACAATAAGAGATGATTTTTCTATTATTATACCTTAAAAGGAATATTTCTCTCATCCGGAGTCACGATTTTCATCAAAACATAACCGAGCATAGGGACACTAGCCAGCAGGAACAGTGCTTTTCCGAGCGCCATTAAGCATTTGTATTGATTACCCCAGGCAATCAATTGAAATAGCCACCAGTCGATCCACCAAACCCCTCCAATACTCTAGTTATTGTGACCACTGAATTATTTCGGCCTTTCGGAGGTCGAAAGTGAAGATATGAATTCTTAGAACAGGTTAAACATTGAGGAACTATTCGGAGCACTAGAAGGCCCCTGGTGGCATTGGAGGGAAGTAGAGGACAATTACGTCTTCCAGGCGGTTATTTCAAACTGAAGACATGGATAATCACTTTGTTCACATATTAGTATAGCCATTGCTGCTGATAAAAGAGTTAACTGATTAGTTTTCTTTTACGAGATCGAATAGACAATTCGATAGATTTTATATGAGTCATCACGTCAATATTTAAGTTGATTGGAATCAATATGTTCTTTCACGTATACGAAATTCCATAGTATTACTGAAAAATTCGTCGAAATCCATGAAAACTTCAATTGAGAATTAATAGGGGAGGGTGGGGTAAAATGGACACTTTAGACTTTTTCAAAATTATTCATAACTCAGAAACAAATTTATCAGTTGAGCTCAATTTAGGCTTGTCACAAAGAGAAAGAATTGTTCTTTGTGGATTGAAAAAACAGTAATTGAATTTTATCAACATTTCAACCCCTCATTAACATTTTTTTTAAAGTCAAGTGTCCGTTTTTCCCCAACCTCCCCTACATATTCCGTTGGAAATCATTAACATCAACATGACCGTCATTATCATGCACGCGATTTCTCTCTTAGACATTTAGGAATAAACGTGTGACATCTCCTTTTTATATAAAGAAGGTCTGGCTCCATTATCTGCCGAACGTTATCCAAATTGATTTTTGCTTTTGAATGGGAGCTTTATAATTGGTCGATTTTTCAATTCTCGAATTTTGCTTGGAAATGACTTAGAATGTTATAAAACGTCGAGATACGGTGTTTTGAGAAAATGTGTCTGTGTACGTTCGTATGTGCGCACAAAATTCTGGGAATTTTTTTATAAATTTTCCACAAAACAAGTGGGAAATTGCTCTTGTATTGTATATGGTATAGTTATTTTTGCTAATAAATTGGCAATATGCTTCCGAATGATTATCTTGCACATCATTTCCTTCTGTCATGTATAATTCATTGTTTATGTCATTTTATTAAATTGAATAAGATTTCCTTTTATCTAATTTTGTCAGATTTTCAACTTAGTTGAATGTTAATAGCATCATTATTCTTATGATCACTTTTCTTCTATTGTCTTTTTGATCTAGTTCTATCTCTGCCCTCAGCCCTTCGATAAAATGTTAATAGAACAATTCAGTAGCGAAGTGGTCAAACGGTTTAAGTCGATTTTGACTATTCGTGAATTTTCAATGAATATCTCGCAATCTAAGGCAGATTGCAAAATTTCTGTTATGACCTTTTCGGTAGAGCACAGTGAGAGCTCTAAAAAAGAAATATCCGAAAATTTCGCTATCTCCCTTAGATTTGAAGATATTTCTCGAAAACTCAGTTAAGAGCTAAGTCGACTTTAACCGTTTGACCACTTCGCTACTGAATTTTATTTACACCTACTTGAATCAATTTGAAACATCACATTTGACGAAACCATCAGAAAGCTCACTTTCAGGGAAATTCATGAAAAATTCAAAATTTTCATCAATCATCATAAAAATCAAATCAATCAATATAGCTATCGTAATCATCCTAATCAACTTTGACTTGAAGCCATTAAAACAAACATTTTAAGCTATGATTAAATTCATTTGAAGCATGATATCCGAAGATATCCTCGGAATTCTGATTTTCAATAAATACAAAATTTTTGAAAATTTTCGAATAAATCAAAATAGTGATTATTGCTATCGCCTTTATCTTCGACGTCGTTCAAAGGAACATCCAAACAAATTTTTAAAGCCATCATTCAATCAATTGAATATTTTTTTTAGTTATCGTGGGACAATCGATTTTTGAAAAAATTCGAAAATTACAAAAACTAATGAATTAAACGAACGAATCAAATTTTAATTAATGACGATCGATAGGGATCAACAATACCTACATTTGAAAAAAAAAAGATTCAATTCCATCCATTCGTTATGAACAATTGAAGAGAAATTTGACCACACATATTGACATACATACATACACACATACGGACACGGTCTAAAAATTGCATTTTCGGACTTTTCGGATCATAATGGGTTGACATAACACAAAAAATCCAAAACTTAAATTTGAACGATTACAAAACTTCCATTCAAAAACAAAAATATCCCACGCCATCAGTATATCAGCAATTCAATGAGTAATTCAGATTATAAAAAAGGCTTAACTGTTTATTTTGCCCCACTCGTCTCTACGCAAATACTTACACTATTGAAAATGCTGATTTATTGTCTAGTTCTCCGCTTTTCCCCAAGTCAGTAAATCAAATTCTCTGATCTTGTTATTATCGCTGTTGATCGTCTCTCCGATCATGTAATAACTCTCGAGAACCCTCGGCCAATTCTCTGACATGTAGTGCCGAAAGACTAAAAGGAAAAAACAAGTAGAAAAATAAATGAAAACTTTAAATGTAGAATTTTTCCCTGAAACAAACCAAACTTTAAAAGAACTGTCAAAATCCATCATAAATACCAGAAATTAGGACTCTGAACACTTCTCCCAACTTCTGACTTGAAGGAAAATAAATAAATCTCACAAATTCTGTTTTTTCAACTTTCAATTCGAATAAATCTTCTCCAGCAATTTTTAAATGAAAAAATTGACCCATTATGTGTTACCATTGGACTGTTCATGGTAAATATGTGGCTGCCACAATAACCACTGACTCACACAAATTGTCCCAAGTTTTAATATAAAAGTTATCCAGTTGTCGAATAATTTTCGAAATAGTATCTCTTGAAATTTCAATACATAAGTACTAAAAATGTTAAATTTGATTTTAAAGAAAATATTCTGATAAATTTCGGTAGATATTCCACAGAATTTACACCCTAAATGAAAAAAACCTCACAAACTATTATTATTTATTTTTTACCTATTATTTTTGTTTTATTATTAAGGTAAATGTACCTATGACCGTCTTTGTCCCTACGCTCGTTCAGATCCTGCCAGCTGACATTTCAATCGTTTTGATAGTCCCAAGAGTCTATTAAGAGCAAAGTACGATTGGAGTTATTAGTTTAGTCAATAAGAAAAGTTATAGACACCAATGCAGGGTGATTTATTGAATAATAAGAGAGAAAAATCACATTCACATCAACTCGTGCTACGACAGAGTTAATTCTTAAGTCACAAGTTAAGAAACTCACAATTTTAAAACGTTGATATCTCCGTTACAATAATAAAATGGAATTAAAAATCCCTTGGCTAAGGTTTCGAATAGTTGAAAATTTAATAAAAATGGATAAATTATAGTAATATCCGGATATTTCACTGAAATATTGCCAATTAAAAGAATAGGTACAATAAAAAAGGCATTGATCCTACACTCGTTTTGCACCCAACTGTCAACTGGTAACGGACTAAACGGATGAAAAAATCATTTAAAAGGTTGGACTGTCCAATGGAAATACAATTTTGTGCATCGAGATATTTTTTAATGTTGTTTTATCACAAAATAGGATACTCACGAGGTAATTAGTTCGGATATAACCTTTCCATATCACTCAAATCACGAGACGAGGATAGGGACATGTGTCAAACGAGCATGGGTACAAATGAACGAGCGTAGGGACATGGGACTTATCACATTCATGGACGATTATTCACTAAAAAATAGTAATTATCATAATTAATATAAATAAATTCCAATTCTGAAGGTTTTACCCTCTGATATGTAATTTAAATCATCGCACCTTCACGCTCATTTCGATAGAAATATTGGACTAATGATGTGTTCACCTTAGCTAGACGAGCGTGGGGTCATTTACCTTACTATTTGAGTTGTCTTTCCCTGAAAACAACGTTCGGAAAATTTTTTCCAGTCAAAAGATAAATTTCGGAACAAAATGATGTTTACAAATTCACTAGAGAATTTCGACTCTGAAATCTCTCCCAATTTTTACACAGTGCAAAACAAAAAAAAATTTTCACTAAAACCAATATTGTAAAGATTTTTTGGGGCCAAAGGATGAATAAATAACAAGGGAAAGATGTGGTAAAATGGGGACTTCTCACTTGTTTTTCTAATGTTCATAATGGTTCATAATTCACAAACAAATTCATCAACAAACTCAGTCTATACTCATCATAAAGGGGAAGAATTGTACTTTTCACGGGGCAAGAAAATTATTCCACTCCATAAACAATTCAATAAATCATTAAAATTAGAAAAAATCAAGTGCCCATTATGGCCCATTCTGATAATGTCAAATTTCGTTACATATTCACCAGAGAAATTCGACTCCCAATTTCTGCACTCGATACAAAACAAAAAATCTCACCAACCAATTATTTCAATTCTCTTTCACTGGAAACAATATTCTGAAGACTTTTTGAAGCAAAAAGATTGATTTCAGAGCAGAATAAAATCATTTGCATGACTCACAGGGTTCACTAATGCTATTTAACAAATCTTAACCTCAAATTAGGGGGTGGACAGCCCATACTGACCTTGAGACCGATTCATCCGCGACCAAAGAACATATGAACCCGCAAGAAATGTCAATTCCACCAGAATTAATCCCTTTCCGACACGCCAAAAGATCCTGAACAATTGTTTCTTTGGTTTCTTGATTAGCATGCTTGTACTGTCGGCATAACAAATGATACTGGTTCACATATATCGGAAATACTCATAAATTCGGTGTTTACTCGATGAAGTGATGAATGAGGGGAATGTATGGGGTGAAACACTCGGGGATTTGGGGTAGTGTAACTTCACCTTCACAAAGGAACTTCAACCACTCGATATTTTTCAGTTTTTGTGTCGATGTGTCGATGACAATTAAAGTGGGCGCACGTGTCCCTCTTGCACTCGCTACTTTTTCGAGTATTTTTTATTCAGCTGTCTCGCTCTGACATGGGTGGGGAACAACGCCACCTACTCTCTGTCTCTTTTCAACGGGGTTTCGCTCTCGCTCTGGAATATCGGGGGATTACCATAAATGGAAATCGTCAATACCTCTCATTCAAGTGCTCCAAATTGGGAATGTTTTTTTATCTTTACGAAATTCCGGAACTAATAGGTGTTTCATGTTTTTTAAGATATTGAATTGTCATGATGACGAATCATTCTAGGAGAATATGTCAGAAGACTTTTTTTGTAGAAAATTTTCTTAACTGCAAAAAATGTCTTTTGACGTTTTTGGCTGATATGATCAGTTTCTGAGATGAATGCAGAATCAATGAAACAAGCTGAAAAAATTGACTGTTAATCCTTGCATAATAATGTTAAAAGACCTCGGAAGTAAAAAAAAATGACAGAAATGAGTGGAAAATTTTGCGCCACGAATTTTCAGCCAAAGAAGGATGAAAAAATGTGAAAGACAGTTTAAAAAATTCGTTCATTTTTTAGGAACTGGATAAAATGAGCTGAAAGTGATCTGAAAATGATGAATAATTTTAATAAAAGCTTGAAAATTCGAAGTGGGAGTGCCGCCATCTTTAAGCGCTGATGGATGGAGAACAACGCTACCCACTCTATGTCTCTTTTTACCGGGTTTTTCGTCTCTCTTGGGGATATCAGGGGATTACCATAAATGAAAATCGTCAATATACCCATTCAAGTATTCCAAATTGGATTTTTTTATCTTTGGAAAATTTTATATCGAACAAATGGGTTTCTCATCTTTTTTCAGATATTCAATTGTCATGATGACGAATTATTCGAGGAGACTATGTCAAAACACTTTTTGTAGAAAATTTTCTTGGCTGCGAAAAATCTTTCTTGACATTTTTGGCTGAAATGATCCGTTTCTGAGGTAAGTGCAGAATAAGTGGGAGAAACTGATGAAATTTACTGTTATTACTTCAATAATAACGAGTAAAAAAAAACTACAGTGATACATTGCGCCACGAAAATTTTGCGCCACGAATTCTCAGCCAAAAAAGGATGAAAAAAATCTGAAGGATAGTTGACAAAATTCGTTCATTTTTCAGGAAACGGATGAAACGAGTTGAAAGTAATTTGAAAAGGATGAATAATTTTTAAAAATGCTTGAAAATGCGAAGTGGGAGCGCCGCAATCTTTAACCACTGATGGGTGGGAAACGATGCCGCCTACTTTTTATCTTTTTTGAACGAGTTTTTCGTCTCACTTTGGGATAACAGGGGATTACCATCAATGAAAATCCTCAATATATCCACTCAAGTGCTTCAAATTGATATTTTTTATCTTTGGCAAATTTTCGCAGGACGGGGCAGGAGCGAATGATATCGAACAAATGGGTTTTTCATGTTTTTTAAGATATTGAATAGTCAAGATGACGAATTATTCCAGGAGAATATGTCAAAAATATGTTAAAAAATATGTTTTCATGTAGAAAATTTTCTTGACTGCGAAAAATGTGTGTTAGAAATGCGACTAAAATTCTAGAACATTCAACTCGAGCACCATCGGGAGGCTTCGGTTGAGCGGTCAGCCGATCGTGAAAACCCCCAAATTTAGTCTTACATCGCACTTCAGCGAGGACAGTAGCTTCTTGAACCTCACCTCGCTCACTAGTAACCAAGTACATCACCAGTCTTTGTAAGATCAACGTTTCGTTCAGTACATCACCTCAGTTTTATCAGTCTAAATTTAACTATTATCAGTGATTCAACTTTATTAAAATTGCAGACAATCAGCAATGATTTTAAGACACTCAACAGTGAAATTTAATACCAAAGAGTGTAAATATTTAATTAACGACGTGGTTCGATCCCACGAATAAACGGGAATTTTTATAATTCGTCTCAACGTTAATTTTCCAGCATTTGCCTCCACATTTTCTCCCATATCCACCCTAAGCCAAGTTCCTCACCAAACAATGTGTTTTGAAATTTTTTGTTAGCATAATCGTCTTCTGAGATAAATGCTGAAGCAATGAAAGAAAGTCGGGTTATTACCTGTTAACACCTGACTAATAATGTTAAGAGCCCCTGGAGCGGAGCAAAGCCCCTTCCCATAAATAAACGAAAAAATCATTATACAATGAAAAATGTGCTTTCTAGTGTAATTTATTGAAAACTCATCTGTACATGTACTCCACTCGTCTCCCGATATATCAATTAATATATCAATAATATTCTCTTGCCTATTTGCAATATTTATTTACCATTCTTTGTAATTTAAATTAGACTTCACGTATGAAAACATCTTCAAGATCATTTCGATAATTCTTACAATAATTAATAAGTGGTGTTTAATCCACTGATAATAAATTCATCGTGTTTTCTCGTTATTCGTAAACAATCGACGATAAATGATAATTCGTCTCTTATTTCATAGAAATACGCTGGCAGTTAATTAATCATTAATAAAGGGTAACGCATGCAATTTTATTCATTATTTATCGTTTTTAAAAAGATTAAGTTTTGCGATTACCGTTTTGCTTCTTTTTTTTCGTTATAAAATTTCTCTACGTTCTAAATTAAAAAATAAAATCTACATTCTTACGTCGACGACCGAATAATTACACTTTAATTTCCAATAGAAATTTATTTAATGCCATTTTTTTTTAATTCAGAATTTGAAAAATAAGTGAAAATTCAATTTTACATATTGCAACTATTTTTGTTTTTAGCGAAATTTTGATGTTCCAGGTGATCGGCACGAACCAAGTAAATCGATTTCAATCGAAAAAAAATCGAAGATGCTCTCCTCCTTCAAATATTGGGTGATTATTCATTCTGTTGAGAAGTGGTGAAACTCGTTGATTCAATTTTATTTGGGAATTAGATTTTGAGACCATTTTGACCTTTAAGGGAGGTGCTGAAATTCTTGTGAGGAATTTTTTTGGGATCTAGAAAAACTTTTTCACAAAAATTTTGTTATTGCCCTGAGATTTAGAGATACTTTACAAAAACTGATGTATTTAAAACTGAAATTTATATTCATTTTTCGAAATTTCAGATTTTAATATTTGATGAGTGTCTCCAAATATTTAAAAAAAAAACAAAAAATTTTGGTGAAAATTGTTGCGTCGTTTTTCTTCAATTCCAAGATATTTCCTAAAAAATTGCAAAAAAAAACTAACATATTTTATTTCTCGACTTCCCTCTGAATTCGTTATCATTATTCAATATTGTGAGATTTTTCATTCAGTTGAGAAGTGGTGAAACTCGTTGATTCAATTTCTTTTGAGAATTCGATTTTGAGAATCTTTTGACATCTAAGGGACATCTAAGGGGTTAAAATTCTTGTGAGGGATTTTTTGGGATCCAGATTTTGTGATTTTCCTCAGATTTAGTGATATTTACTAAAAACTGATGTGTTTGAAACTGAAATTTATAATGATTTGTATGAATTTTAGACTTTAATTTTTGATTATGTATCTCAAAATATAAAAGAAACAGTCAAATTGTTGTAGAAATTGTTTCCTCGTCTCTCTTCAATTCCACGATATGTCAAAAAATGGTTTTCAAGAAAAACCTAGAACATTTGGTTTCAACACTTCCCTCTGAAATCCTTCTCATTACTCAAATATTGTTCACAATTATTCATTCTGTTGAGAAGTGGTGAAACGGATTAGTTTAATTTTACTTGGCAATTAGCTTTGGGGAGAATTTCTTTCAATCGATTTTTTCTGTAATATCAAATTTAGAAAAACATCGTCAGAAAATAGTTTTTTTCCTGAGATTTAGAGATACTTTTCAAAAACTGCCATCCTTCAAATTGAAATTTATAATTATTTTTGTGAATTTCAGACTTCAAGATCTGATGAATATGTCTAAATTCAAGGGAAATGAGAAAATTTTTGTGGAAATGGTTTTGTCGTCTACTTTCAATTCCAAGATACCTTCAAAAAATTTTTTAAAAAAAACCTGAAAGATTTGGTTTTAACACTTGCCCCAGAATTTCTTCTCATTACTCAAATATAGTGTGATTATTCATTATGCTGAGAAGTGGTGGAACGGATTGATTCAATTTTATTTGGGAATTAGCCTTTTAGAATATTTCTTGTGATGGATTTTTTTGTAATATCAAATCTAGAAAAGCTTCGTCAGAAATATTTTGTTTTTTTCCTCAGATTTACAGGCATTTTCCTCAAATTTCTGTCTTTGAAACAGAAATTTAAAATTATTTTTCGGAATTTCAGACTTCAATATTCGATGAATATCCCTGAATCCAGGAGAAATAGAAAAATTTTCGTGAAAATCTTTGTCACGACTCTCAAACCCCAAGATATCTCCTAAAAAAATATCAAAAAAACTAAAACATCTTATTTCACCACTTCCCCCCGAAATTCTCATTACTTCAAAAATTTTGTTATTGAGTGGAACCAAAGAAGAAAATCCCTCACTTTCTCCTCAATGAAGACCCCAGAAAATCCTCCAGTAATTGTTCCTCCAATGATAAATAAAACCTAAAAAAAACAATTACTCGAACAAATTGATCGAAAAATTTCATTTCTTTCCCTCTTTTCATTACATTTATAAAAAAAATTGCTCCACAGCCAATAACCTCGCCCCCCCACCAAAATCGATAAAAAATTGCAAGTCCCTCATTCCACTCAACAACAAAAGCGACAAAAAATATCATATTTCTCCTTAAATCGATGAAAATCATTAATCACTCTTACCATAAACTCCAATCCTAGTAATCATACCTCGATTATTTACTCAATCATCTCGTCCATCTCTACCCTATGTAATCTTTAACTATTTAAATCGTTATTTAATCGTTATTATGCACTTCGAATTCGATTTATCGTAAGACGTTAAACTCGATGAGTTCAGTGTTATCATTACGCCTTGGAACGGATTTACCCATATTTGCGTTCATCTCACAAAAATAATAATTCACGAGACAATTGAATTTTGCAATGATCCACCCCACAAAATGGAGAGATCATTTTTTTCCGTTAACGAGAATAATAAAAATAAGAACAACCCGCAGAGTTAATCGTCCAGCGAATGCTTTACCTAAATTGACTCTAGGTAAAATCGAAGGAGAAAAATTCAGCTATTGACAGCCAGACATTGTGAATCGTGGATTAATCATCTGCACATTATCTGCACATCTGTAATTCACACGAATTTCTACAGCATTGCCTGTTAAGTTATTGATTCTGTTGTTAATTCCCTTGAAGTTACTTCGTTCTCGATTATTCATCGTTTGTAGATTTGTTAGTGGGCACAGGAGTGATGAGACTCAACATGACGGTCGTACGGACAGTCTTTTTGAACACCATGAGGTCATGGGAGTTATGGCTAGGTTGTAATTTGCTACGACACCATCTCGTGCCAGCCAGACCCGTTTGATGAGTTGCTTTCGGGTGATGCTGCAATTTAAAATGAGAGAACAGTTTTTAATAAAGGGTTCAACATTTTTGATTGAAATTTACGGTCGACTTTTTGGATTTTTTTTTTCAGTGACAGTTACATGAAATCTCAGAGAATTTGGGAATTTTAAATTCACGATTTGATGGAGAATCAATGGAAATGGCAAAATTCAGTTCAATGATTTCGTGAATAGAAATAAAGAAAATTCAGGTGAATATAATATATAATTGATTTTAATATGGAATATAATAGAATAAAATTCAAGTGAGGCAGGAAATTTTAGCCTTTGTAATCTATTGAATTATTTCATTGAATTTTCAGGGAAATTTAAAATGTTATGAATTTTTCCAACTGATTCGAATTCTATGCTTTTCTCTTTCTTGAAATTTTTTTGCAGTGACAGTTACATTAAAGTCTCTAAGAAATTTGACATTGAAACTTCACGGGTTGATGGAGAATCAGTGGAAATTGCAAAAGTCAGTTCAATTATTTCATGACTAGAAATCAAGGAAATTCTGGTGAATATAATATATAATTAATTATAATATAGAATATAATATAATAAAATTCAAGTGAGTCAGGGAATTTTAGTATTTCTAATCCATTGAATTATTGTGATAAATTTTCAGTACAATTTAAAATTTTATGAATTTTTCCAATTGATTCCAATTCAATGTTTTTCTCCTGAAAATTACTACCAAACAATTTATGAAATTTCAATTATTTTCTAATAATGTATGAAAAAATCGAGAATTTTTTTTATATCTGATAGAAAATGATCCTCTGTTTCTAAATCAAGTTTAATTATTTATTTATGGAAAGAGAATTTCCAAGAGAATTGAAAAAAGACTGAAACGATACAAAATGTAATTTGGATGAAATTAATTACACTATGGAAAATTCCCTGAAAACTCTGAATTTCGGTGCACTTATTCCATGAAACTGAACGGAAATACGAAAAATTCAGTTAAATATACTCTTGAGCTTTCAAATAATTAAAAATCCGGCATAATTTCGTAGTGAATATTCCTATTTTGATCTCATAGAATCAAGAGGGTATTGTTATCAACTTTTTGAGCCATGAATAATTCCATTTTGATGAAAATTTTTTGAGTGATCGTTAAAAAATCAATTTTTGGAAAAATATCATTTTTTTAAAATCTGTGTGAAAAAAATTCATAAAAAAATTCATGAAATTCTATTGATTTCTTTTAAGAAAATTTCGAAAAAAATGAAGAAAAAAGACCACATACGTACATACAGACACCATTTGAAAATCGCATATTTGGACTTTTAGGCCATATTTAGTTACCCCAACACAAAAAATTGAAAACTTAAATTTGACTGATTCCAAAGCTTCCATTCGGAAACAACTGGAACAAAGAATGGATTGAATACAATATGATGTTCGAAAAATTATGAAAAAACGATTAAATACCAGTCTTAGTATCCACTCTATCAGGAGAGGACGCCCTTGGACCCCATATTCTGACAGTGCAGTCATCAGAAACCGAAGCCATCATCTGATGATACACAGGATTCCACGACACACAGTTGACAGTTCTACTGTGTCCAGTTAATACAGCTATTGGCAGTTCTCGTTTGATGTGCCATACGTATACTTTATTGTCTTCACTTCCAGAGGCTATAAAGTCCTGATTGACTCCCCCAAAGCAACTGTGAATGGTGAAGTGCCCCTGGGTGACCCCCTGGAAGCGTCTCACAAGGCATCTGTCTTGCAGGTCCCACATGTGGACTCCCTGATTCGCTATGTTCAGGAGAACCAGACGATCTGCTTTGTTCACACTAAATGATATCACTGCGTGGTCCTCTTGCAACCTTAAAATAATCATTCAATTGTTAATTTCAATAAATCAAAGCATTTTTATTCATTCAATTTATGTTCAATTCTGATTTATGTGATGAAGAGTTAAATTAGTTTCGTTTTTAATAGTGCAATTATATCGAGAAAGAACTCTTGGCATAATTCAACATTGAAACTGGATTTTCTGGACAAACTGATATATTACAGACGATGAAATTCATCTTTTTAGACATTTAATACTTTGCATGAAGCGTTTTTCTACAGAAATTGTAATCCTCACATTTTAATTGTATGATATTCACGTTCAATTCTACCAAATTGTAGTGTATCATGCCTATTACACATTGTGCAATCTCAATTGCACATTCTATTATTCAAACTTGTTAATGTTCAGTTTGTTTGCAATTCGAAAGGTATAATTAGAGCATGTGGCATTAATTACACATGCTCTAATTAAATTAAAGATATACTGAAGCCATCAATCTGGGACCGAGTGCTAAGGATTTTGTGTTTTTCTTGAATTACATATGCTTGAATTATATATTTACAAGTTTCAATTGTATAATGTGATTAGGAGGCTATGCCCCCTGCTCACTCCGCTCGTCAGCCCCCATATGGCCCCCATATGACCTCCATGATCCTTAATCTTACCCTCGTGACCCTTATTCTGCCCTTGTGACCCTTATTCGGACCGCCATAACATTTATTATAACCCTCATGACCCTTATGCCCTTATGCTGAGCCTCATGACTCTTATTCTGACCTTCATGACCTTTATTGTGACCCTCGTGACCCTTATTTTGACCCTTGTGTCGATTTGGATTTTTATAATATAGAGAAAAATTCACTTTTCGCAAAACGTAATTACAATTTCCATTCCAAATGATCAAAATTTAGTATGTGGATGGTGTAATTAGAATGTAGGGATTAGAATTTTTGTAGAAAAAGTATTTATCCAAAATATTAAATGTGTCAAAAATGAAGGGACTCAATTGTGTGTAATCGATCATCAAGTCTCTCTACTATTTTTGACACACTTGAAGTTTTGCATTAAGACTTAATCTACAAAAATTCTACTCCCCACATTCTAGTTATAGCATATACATACGGAATTCTAGTAAAGTGTAATGGAAATTGTAATTAAATGATATTCATGTTCAGTTCTACAAATTGTTATGTATCAACCCAATTGAATTATACAATGTGCATTCAGAATTCTACAATGTATAATTCAGTAGCGAAGTGGTAAAGTAGTTTAAGTCAACTTATCTCCCCGTTGAGTTTTTGAGGAATATTTTGGAATCTAAGGGAGATAACGAAATTTTCGTAATTACATTCGTTGCAGCTCTCAGTCAGCTCTGCAAAAAAGGTTACAACAAAAAATTTGCTATCTCCCTCAGATTCCGAGATATTCATTGAAAACTGGTCAGTAGTCAAAATTGACTTATACCGTTTTACCACTTCGCTACTGAATTCAAACTTGTGAATGTTATGAATTTATTGTTTGCAATTCGAAAATTATAATATGAGCATGTGTAATTAAAGAAAAACAAAACATTGTATTATCAAGGTAATAAATGAAATAACAAGAAAAGTACAATAAAAAATGATAATTACATCGTGAAATCTGCCAATTCTTCGAAGTTGTAACTGCGAATACGATGATGAGTATCAGCAGCTAGTACTGTTTTTCCGTCACTCCTGCACCACAGGCTCTTCACTCGAACTCCTTCCCAAGAGTCAACAATATTCCCGTCCAAATCCTACAAGAGAAGTAACGAGGGATTATAATCAATTGCAACATTATCTGCAAAACCCAGATTTTTCGAACTCCAATTTCCGAACTCGACGCTTTTGGAAAAAACAGAAAATTTATGGCACGGAATAAAAATTGAGATACGTTCCTATAGAAAACGTTGATTTGATGTTTCTATAGAAATTCCTCAGCCAAAATTTCCTCAGTTTTTTCGTTTAATTTCTCTCAATGAGACGAGACCAAGAATGAATTGAAAAGAACATTGAAAAATTTATGTAGAAAGATCAAATTTTACTGTTTTTTCTATCAAATAGCTTTCATTAGACATTTCGATTTTATATGATTATTTTGTCTATAGAAATACCTCGACTGAAATTTGTCCAGTTTTTTCGTTCAACTTCTTAATAAGAGGAGGAAAAAAACAGTGAAAAAACATAGAAAATTTACGTCACGGAATAAAAATTGAGATATATCCCTATAAAAAACGGTGATTTGATGTTTCTATAGAAATTCCTCAGCCGAAATTTCCCCAGTTTCTTCTTTTGATTTTTTTCAATGAGCCGCGACCCAAAATGAAGTGCAAAAAACATTGAAAAAGTTACCTAGATCAAATTCTACTCATTTTCCTATAAAATAGTTTCCATTGGACATAATTAAATCCGCAGAATTATTCGCAACAAATTCACTACAATTTTCTCTCGAATTCGCCTAGGTTTCCCCATGAAATTGTTTCGCGCTTGAATAAACTGCATTAAAATTCATGTAACCACTCACGCATTGATAAAACTGTCCTCGAATTCCCCCAGTGACAAATTTCTTGGCATCCCTGTGCCAGGCACAAGCAGTGAGTGAGTCCTCAGTGCTCTGTGTGAATTTGATCCTGAGATCGCAGTCACGAGAGTTGACGCTGTAAACCCACAGTTCAGGGCAATCCTCAGGGCCACACGCGATGAGATGACTGCTGTCAGGGCTCCAAGTGATGAAAGCCACCCCAAACGTGTGACCCTCCAGTGTTTTTCTGTGAGTGACCCTCAGCGTCTCAGGATCAACGTCCCAGATGATGATGGTCATGTCCTTGGAGCCAGTGGCTAGTTTCAGGCCATCGGGTGAAAATTTACAGTACCACACCTCGTCGCAGTGATCATTGAGCACTTGAGTCGTGTGACAGGGAAAATGCTCTTTTCCACAGTTGTGATCCACCAGCAGTGAGACACTCTCCAGTGTCGCCTGGTTGGGAGAAATGTGATAGGTGCACTGTTGATTCTGCATCTCAACAGCCTGACTCAGCAGTGATTGAAGGCGTCGTGGTGGTAGCATTATGGAGGGGGGAAGGTACCTCTGGAGTCGATCCATCAGGGCGGCTCGAGAGGCCGAACCCTTGCCATCCCATCCTGCACGTGTCTGTGAACATGTCAGGATTTTTTCATATTTTTAATATTTCAATTATATTATATTATAATTAATACATCACAAATTCCTAACAAAATTCATTCGGCAACCATTCTGCTCAAAGAATTGAAAACCTGTAGTTCACATCTCCCTCTGCATTATTCAATTTTATCAATGAAAATTCATATCGAGGAATTCCTGCAGAAAATATTTCAATAGAAAAAGTTGCATAGAAAGATGAATTCTACTGATTTTTTTATAAAATAGTTTCTATTAGTCATTTAGAAAAAAAACATGCAGTAAAAATTTGCCAAAAACTAATGAAACCTCCAATAGAAATTCAATAGAAATCCAATAGATTTTTCATGAAATTCGCTAGGTTTTTCTATTTGATTTTTTAATGCCTTAAATCTCACATTTTCTCTGGAATATGTTAACCAAAAATTCATCATCATCTTGTACATCACAAATTCTCACCGAAATTCATTCATCAGCCCTTCCCCCCAAAGAAATAAAGATTCACCTGCAGTTCATCTCTCCCACTGCACATCATAAATGCAGACAATTGATGAACCCGTCCCGTATTGTGTCCCAGCGGTGTCAGCTCATTCCTCAACACCTGCAGTGCATCCAACACGAGACCCTCCTCGAGAAACTCGAGATACTTCTGCTCCAACAGCAGAAACTTCATCTCAACTAGACTCTGATTTGGATTATTGAGAAATGGCTTGAGCTCATTGAGATCGTGATCCGCTTTGTTCCAGTCACCGTCCATAACGTGCTGACGGAATTTAGCGGCTGCTGGATGATCCAGACGACAGCCAGACTCCTGCATGAGTAAATCAGCTGTGCGACTGGGGGGAGTAGCAACAAAGAAAATTGTTAGTGAATTTTTATCTTCGTGACTCATAGAGTTTTTTTTAATTTGTTTGTTTTATCTTTTGTGTTTGTTTCTGTTGAGAATGAAATGTATCATTATCTCGAGGCCAGCGCGACTATAGTCAACATAAGTGTTTTCAAAGGTGAGGATGGTGGGTTTAACGACAGGGTCGTGACCCCGTTTGCTTGTTTTTTTTTAATGATTTACTAGGGGAGAGGGGGCAAAATGGAACACCAAGAAAAACGAGTATTTAGCACAATGCAAAAGACTTTTTTTTGTCTTCAGTTGAGGGTAAAACCGTTTTGAGGGTCAAACGAGTTGACTTTCAATTAGAAAAAAAAAATAAGGGCCACTTGTTTGTGACAGGGAAACGACCCTTGAAGAACTGTAAGGTTAAGGGTCACATGACCCTTTCTGATCACTCTGCTCTAATTCGCTGGACTTTTAAGGCCAGTTGACTCTCAACTCTAAACGTTCTTCAGAGTCGTTTGACCCTCGAAACCAATTGACTCCCACTCTAGACGATCATTTGACTCTCAAGTGGTTTGCCCCTCGAAACTATAAGGCTCTCAATCCAGACGTCCTCACGGGCCGTTTGACCCTCTAAACGTTCTCATGGGTCGTTTGACCCTCAACTCCAAAAGTTCTCAAGCGTTATTTCGCTCTTAAAATCCTTTGATCCTTGGCTCTAAAAAGTTTTAAGAATTGTTTGACCCTCAAGATCTTTTAGACCTTTAACCCTTAACTCTAAATGACCTCAAGAGTTGTTTATACCTCAATTCAAAACGTCTTCAGGGATTGCTTGACTCTCGAAATCACTAGACCCTCAACTCTAAACGTCCTTAAGGGCCGTTTGACCCGTCGAACGTTCTTAAGGTTCGTTTGATCCTCAACTCTAAAAACTCTCAAGGGTCCTATCATTCTTAAAATCCTTTGAGTCTTAACCCTGAAGAACTTTAAGGGTTGTCTGACCCTCAACACCCGACGTTCTCAAGGGTCGCTTCACTCTCAAAATCTTTTGACCCTTAATCCTAAAGGGTTAATTGATCGTCAACTCCAAATGTCCTTAAGTCGTTAGTCCCTCAACTCTTTCAGTTTTCAAGGGTCGTTTGACCCTTCAAACGGTCATAAAAATAGTTTGTCTCTTAACTCCAAACGCTCTGAAGGGTCGTTTCACCCTAAAAATCCTCAGACCCTTAACCCGAAAGGATTTTAAGGGTTGTTTGACCCTCAACTCCAGACGTCCTTAAGGATCGTTCGACCATCAAGATCATTTAACCTTTAACTCAAAAGATTCGAAGGGGTCATTTCTCCCTCAATTCCAAATGTCCTCAAGGGTTGTTTGACCCTCCAAACCACTAGCCCCTCAACAATAAACGTCTTCACGAGTCGTTTGACCCTCGAAACGTTTTTAACGATCGTTCGACCCTCAAGAGTATTTGACCCTTAACTCCAGTTTTCTTTAGGATCGTGCGGCCCACAAGATCATTTGACCCTCAACTCCAAACGCACTCAACAGTCATTTGATCCTCAAAATCACTTGACCCGGAATCCTTGTCGTTCTTAAGGATTGAGGGTCAAACGGTGTAAAAGGTCGTTTGACCCTCAACTAAAAACGAAAAAAATTGTTTCCTGAATAGTCCAATGTATTACTTTTTTTGGTGTTTCATTTTGACCTGCCTTTTATTTTGCTGCAGTGTCTTAGTGTATGATAAATAGAATTAGAATGTTTGCAAAGGCTTTCTTGTAGACTCAAGGCCAAACTGCAAAGCAGGTCTTCATGTATTTTTTTTATCTCAGATTCCAAAATATTTTCCAATAACTGTTGCCAAGAAAAATTGAGTTATTTTGCTGCACTCAACTTCAGATTTAGTTTTTCATCCGTATCTCTGGTTCTAAGGGGTATAGCGAGAACTTCATGAAGACATTTTTTATACATCTTGAGATGCTCTACAAAAAATATTCAGATAAAAATTTCGCTAGGTCTTTTAGATTCCGAGGTATTGACCAAAAACTGAACTGGAAATCTAATTGATCCCTAGGTACTCAATTCATTAAATATCGGATGAACATGCGATTTTTATATTATATATATTTTTCCTTTTTCTTTAATATTTTGGAAATTATCGAAAAAACAAGTACTGTTGAAAACTGTTGGAGCTCAATACAATATTTTCCACAGTTTCAAATCAGAAATTCACTTACATGTACTGCCAATGACCTCATTTTCGCGTAACGATTTTCGATAATTTTGAGGGTCATTACGTTCTCCATGACCTGTAGCGTAATTTCTTAATAGCTTCTAACTTCAAAGAGAGATTATTTTAATTAACCCCAATTAAATTTTCGATTTGTTCATTTTTTTGCGTAAAACCACTCGTTATCGAGATATTTAAAAAACAATGTTGACGGATAGGGGAGGGTCGAGCAAAATGGGACGTATTGACATCTTTTTCAATTGTCAATGTCTTCACTTATAAGTGATAATATTGACAATTAGAGGAGATCACGAAATCACGTTCCATTTGCCCGAATCTCCCCTAATAAAATTGACAACGTATTGTCAACAATTTTTTGACTAAAAATATCATTTGACATTGTCACGTAAAACCACTCTTTATCGAGTCATTAAAAAATATGATAATAGATAATTCAATAGTGCAGTGGTGAGTACAATATTAACGTCCGCATTTTTTCCCAAAATCACTCATTAGATGTGAAAGATGTTAAAGAACAACTGTACCCAATCGAATGCAATTTTAGCCCTTTATTTTCCGAAAAATTGATTTTCGAACACAATAATTCAATATTGTAAAAACGATTTAATATTTAAAAAGAACTGAAAAATGTTCAGGAAAAAATTCAGTAGTAAATTAAGGGGAGACTACTATGAATTTTAAACGTCGCGGGGTATTGGAATGACATTTCTCATACATTGAAGATCGATTACATATGTCTAAAAACGAATAATTAGTGCAAAAAAATTGTTTATTGTTCGTTTACGCCACAATCGCTCAAAATGTTGAAAATAGTCCAGGGTCGCCAATTTTTAAGCAACAGAGGTTTTTTTTCAAAATTTTTGGCAAAATGTGTGGAATAAAAATTACGAATTAGTTTTTTGAAATTCAATTCCTACACAGCTAATTTCTTTATTGTTTTAGTAAAAAATTGCACATTCATGTAAAATAGCCCGAAAAATGTTTCTGAAAGAATCGAGAATATATTTTAAATATTTTACGGATAATTTTTCTGCATATTGTACATGAATGGCGTAAGTTTTTATCTTAAAGCTCGGGTGGATTATCTGTCGAACGTTATCTCGGTTGTTTTTCCATTTTCATAATGTAAAATATATCACAATTTCCATTGGATTTTACATCACGCAGGAGTCCCTAAAAATTATGATTGATAATTTATCATGGTAACTAACGATCTGACAGCCATTGACTACACTGTGACAAATGACGACCTAACAGCCATTAGATACATCAAATTATTAATTTTCAATTTCCTTCCTATTGGGTTTATTTCCCAATATTATTCAAAAACGCTCTTTGAAAATGTTCAGCTTTTTTCAATGTTTTTTTAATTGTACAATCATAATATTTGAAGACCCCAGGGCAATGTAAAACTGAATAACAATCGGAGATAATTTCAGATTATCAGCATGCAAAAAACAACCAAGATCACGTTCGAAAGATAATCCACCCGGACCTTAAACAAAACGAAATTAGCTGTGTTGGAGGCGAATTCCAAAAAACTAATTCGTAATTATTATTGTACGCATCTTTTCAAAAATACTGAACGAAAAAAATCCTCTGTAGTTCTATTGTTAACATTCTAAGCATCTGCGGGGCAAACGAACAATAAACAATTAATTTTTTTGCACTAATCATTCGTTTTTAGACATACATAATCGATCCTAAACGCATGAGAAATCTCACTCCACTAGCCCACGACTTTTAAAACTCGTAGTAGTCTCCCCTAAATCCAATTGGCTTGTTGCCATTTATCTCACAAACTATAGACTCTAGCACAAAATGTCAAGATTTCCTTCCTTCCTGCCTTCACAGAGAATGAAATTTCCTCAAAATCCCTCATCACGACACAATTAAATATTCAAAAACCCTTGGAAAATCAACTAGTCCAGGTGTTTACATTTCATCATTCCTTCCTAAATTATCTTTCGATTATCTCGGGATCTTAAAAGGTTTTCTCTGTAGTGAATTGAACCGGAAATTCCCCTGCCTCTCCAACGGCGCAAGTGCCACCCCTTCCCCTCTTTGTTTACAAGGCACGTCAAAGAACTGAATGAGTGCACTTGATCAGCCCTTCAATCACTCAATTTTTTAAAATTAGTTTTTAGTTAATTATTTGCTTTTTCAACACATACTCAAGTCCAACTGCCTTCAAATGCTGTCCAATGAGACGCACAATGTCCTGATTAGTCTTATCCATAATCTTTGGTGGTCCCAGTGCTTGGCTCTCACCATTGACACCATTGATATCACCATCGCATCTTGGTGATGTGTTGCCATTGGCATGGGAACCACCAGTGTCTGGTGTTGAACCATTCCGCTGTGGTCCTGTTACTGGCGCCCCATTTGTAGCTTGCTGCATCATACTGCATTGACACAGAAAGAAAAAATCAATTGAATTCAATATTATGTAGAATAATAAGTTGCATCGAAATGATGACTTGAATAGCATATGAAAACATTAAAAACCGTTAATTGAAAAGATTTCACACGAATAAAGAAATGTTTTCAATGAATGGAAATGCATGAGAGGAAGGAAAAAAATCATTTAATTCAATATTATGGAGAATAATCGGTTTCATCGAAATAATGAGTTGAATAGCATATGAAAACGTTAAAAATCGTTAAATACCAACAGTTGCATCAAAATATTGACTTGAATATCACACGAAAACATGAAAAATATTAAATTAAAAAGTTTCATATGAATAAAAAAAATATTTTCAATGAATGAAAATAAATTTCAGAAAGAAAAAAATCGATTGAATTCAATATTATGGGGAATAATGAGTTGCATCGAAATGATGACTGGAATACGACGCAAAAGCATTTAAAATATTAAATCGAACAGATTTCGCAAGAATAAAAAAAATGTTTTTAATGAATGAAAATAAATGTTAGAAAAGAAAAAATCGATTGAATTGAATATTACGGAAAATAACAACAATCGCATATCAAATTGACGGCTTGAATATCTTACGAAGGCATTAAGAATCGTAAATTGAAAAGATTTCACATCAATAGCAAAAATGAATATCACACGTAAACATTAAAAACCGTAAATTAAAAAGATTTAACATGAGTAAAAAAATGTTTTCAATGAATGAAAATAAACGTCAGAAAAACGTCGTAGAGAAATCGATTTTTAATAAAGAAAACGAAGAGAATTTTCTTGGAAACTAGGAAATGTTGAAGATATGATTTTTGCAAATAGTTCAAATGCATTCAAACTAGGAAATTCTATGGATTTTTTATCTATTTTGTTGAAAAATTCCGCTTTTTATCAAAAATAAAATTTAAAAAAAAGTTCAATAGAGAAAACTCGACAGATTTTTCCGTAAAACTAATTCAATTGAAATGGTTTTATAGAAATTTATTCTTCCATAAATTTTTTCTTAAGTAGAAATTTGTTTTACTGCATTTTTTTCATCTCTCATCCTAAAATTCAAGTCAGAAAACATGGAAAATTCTAATGAGAATAATTTGAACAGAAAAGTTACAACCTTTTGAATTCTTCTACAAAATATTTTTTATTGTCCATTTCCATTCAAAAAATCGTCCAGGAAAACCGGAAATTATTTAATCGACTCCCAATAGAATTTTCCTGTGAAAGCATTAGGTTTTAAAGTAAATTTGTTCGTACGTGTAATTATTGCAATTATTTCAATAATGGATTCTAGGAGAGATTGTCAAGACATATTTTCCGTTGGAAATTTTGAAATTTTCTCAATTGCGAAAAGGTCTACTGACACTTCCTCCTAAAACCACTCCTTGGAATATTTTAGTAAATATCAAAGAATGGAGAAGGAACTGATTACGTATTATGATTTCACTAGTGAATTATTCATCACGAATTAAAATTCCGCATTTAAAATTCTTGGCTACTCCAATTAACTCAATTACTCCAAAAGATATTATTGCAGCAAATATTATCACTTAATTTGCACTTAATTTTTTTAATATTATCACTTAATTTTTCACAAAACTACAGAGAATTGACAGGAATAATTTCGAGAAATCCAGAATGAACTTCTTAATTGACTTAAAATAATAGAGTAGGGATAGACAAAATTTATCGATAAATGAAAAAAACCATAAACTACTAAACACTACTTGACAAAATCAATCATTCCCCCAGAATCTCCTGATCAACTGAAGAAATCTATTCTCCAAAGACTTTCAAACCTTCACTTCAGAAATTGAATCAGATTTATTCACTGAAGCAACTCTAAAAATTGACAAAAGACAATAAAAAATGAGCAATTTATATGACAACTAAAAAGGCAACACCAAATTAAGTCACAAATTCCCTAGATCAACCATCAACCCTTTAACTCTGATGTAACTTTTAAAAAACTTTCGAAAAATTCTTACTCTAAAAAAAATTGACCCAAATAAAAAGAAACTCAGTATCTGCCTCTTAACAGCTAAGAAAATCACAAGACTGAGAAACAATGATGAATAAGCAATTCTCATATTGAAAAAAGAATTCAACAAGAATCGAGTGATGACAATGAATTCTCTTCTTAATTGACTTTAAATTCGAAAGACTCTCAAAACCTTCAGTGGAGAAATTCTAAAAACTGACTCAAATAACTTCAAGAAATTTAAAAAAAACCCAGTGTCAGGCTCCCAAAAGTCAACGAAAAATCAAAGACCAGGAGACAATAAAAATGAAAAAAGTCAACACCGAATTAAGTCACAAATTCCTTTAAAAAATTCTAAAAATCCTCTGGAGCAACCACTAACCCTTTAACTCTGATCTAGCTTTGAAAAAACTTCCAAAAAACTCGAACTCTAAAAAAAATTGACCCAAATAAGACCAAAAAATGAAATGAAATACAGTATCTGTCTCTTAGCCGCTGCAAAAATCACAAGGCTGAGAAACAATGATGAATGAGCAATTCTCATCCTGAAAAAAAAATTCAACAACAATCGAATGATGAATTAATAATGAATTCTCTTCTTAATTGACCCCAATTGCAGACTCCCAAAACCTTCACTAGAGTAACTAGTGAAAACTGACTCAAAGAACCCGAGGAAATTTTTAAAAAAACCCAGACGCCCAAAAGTCAACGAAAAATCGAAGACCAGGAGAGAATAAAATATGAGTAATTCTTATGAAAAATAAAAAGTCAGTACCAAATTAAGTCACAAATTCCTTTTAAAAATTCTAAAAATCCCCTAGATCAACCATTCCTTTAACTCTGACGTAGCATTAAAAAATTTTCCAAAAACTCGAATTCTAAAAAAACTGGCCCAAATAACCCCGAAAAATTGAAAAAAATCTCAGCATTTAGCTCTCAAAAGGCAAAAAAATCACAAGGCCGAGAAACAATGATGAATAATCAATTCTTATACTCAAAAAAAAAATTAATAATAATCAAATGATGAATTAATGATCAATTTCCTTCTAAATCGACTCCAAACTCCAGACTCCCAAAACATTGACTCGAGAAATTAAATCTTTCCACTGGAGCACCTCTGAAAATTGACCCAAATAACTGCAGGCAATTCCGGACAACTCAGTGTCGGGCTGCCAAAAATAAAAGAAGAATCAATCAGGAGACAATAAAAGATGAGCAATCTCTATTAAAACTAAAAACTCACGAATAAACTAAGTCACAACTTCCTTAAAAAAAATCTGAAAACTCCCTAGATCAACCATTCTATTCAACTAAAAGAAAACTCTAACAAATACTTCTAAAAAATGCGAACTCTAAAGCAATTGATCCAAATAACGCCAGGAAATTGCAAAAGCCCAGTGCCTGACTCCAAAAAGTGAAAGAAAAATCAAAGACCAGTAGAAAAGGGGAAATGAGCAATTCTCATTAAAAAAACTTTACAATAAATAGAAAGTCCAAACAAAACCTCTAAAAAACAATAATTACATAATTATAATCGCATAAAATTTTTAGTTTCCAATTCTTAATTGTTGTCTTATATTCTATTTCAGTAGCGAAGTGGTAAAACGGTACCAGTCAATTTTGACTATTGACCAGTTTTCAATGAATCTCGGAATCTAAGGAAGACAGCAAAATTTTTAATATATCCTTTTTTGTAGACCCGATTGAGAGCTACAACTAATGTAATTACGAAAATTTCGCTATCTCCCTTAGGTTCGTAAATATTCCTTAAGAACTCAACTGAGAGATAAATCGACTTGAACCATTTCACCACTTCGCTACTGATTGATTCTATCGAAAGAAAGATATAAATCAAATTTATGGGTATTCTTTCATTATTCGAAAAAATAGGTGACACGCCAAAATTCCCCGCCCCATATTTCCCTGGTCGAAATTCCCACCGTCATTTTTCTTCCCGACATAATTCCTTCATGTTAATATTCCTTGCACCAATTCTCCTAATAATTCCTGCCGATAAAATTCCCCGTATGGCGTATTTATGCGGTTTTTTTGAAATTATATATTTGGTTCGTGAAAATCTTTATTCAAATTTTAATAACAGGCAACATGAATTTTATGAAATTGATGAAATTGATCCTTTGTTCGAGGTAGTTCTGTTGCGGGGGGATTTTCTTGCAGGGAATTTTGACACGGGGGTATTTTGAGGGGGGGAATATTGACCTGGGGAATTTAGACGCAGGGAATTCTGACGCGGGCATTTTGACGCGGAGAATCTTGGTATGTAACCAAAAAATATATCGATTTTAAAACTTTCCAGAGACATTGAACATTTAAATTTTTCATTTCTTCCTGCAGACGTTACTTTGCATTTTTTTCATAAAATTTGAAAATATTCATATCCTTCCCAATGTGGTTGAAGGAAATTTTACGAAACTGTCACGTAATTTTTACCTAAAATCAATGAATTTTTCCAGAGCGTTCCGTAATTTTTACCTGAATCTTCTGTGAAAAATTACGATACCGTCACTTAAATTTTCTGAGTCGATTCCATAATCGATGAGCGAATTGTGAGTTCCGTAATTTTTACTGAACATTTCTCTCCGTGTATTCAATGTTCCTCATTACATTCATCATTCTATCAAACGACAAGGATAGAAATCGAATTGATGGGTATTCTTTCATTGTTCGTAAAGATGTTCGATGGGGTTATTCATCGGTAGGGCCGTAAAATGTGCAGTTTTACAGTGGCCAAAAATATATATTTCAAGAATAAGAATGAATCAAATTAACTTAATCTAATCCTGAAAACGGAAAAGGCAAAAACAAATAAAATAATATAGTATAAACGATAAGAAATTGGAAACTCCAGCAAAGATTTCCCAACTCAACCGTTCCCTTTAAACCCCTCACCAAAAATAAATCGACAGCTCTTTAAATCATCTCTGAAACGTCAACCCCATCCTGACCTCCTGGAAGTCCCCCAAAACAAACAAATTTCCATCGGCCCAGCTGCCCCGCAAGAAATAATCCCAATAATAGTCTCATCTCCCGCAAAATTCCATTCCTAGGCAAAAAAAAAATATTCCAAACAGGAAAAAAAATCACATGATGAATTTCTCTTCTAAATAGACTCCAAACTCCAAAGGCAGCCAAAACTTTCACTCTAGAAATTGAATCACATCTTTCCACTGAAGTACCTCTAACAATTGACCCCAGCAACTCCGGAAAATTCCAAAAAACCTAATATCTGCCTTCCAAGAATAAAAAAAAAATAAAAAACCAGAAGTCAATGAGAAATGAGCCATCTCTAGTAAAAATAAAAACTGACTAATAAATTGAGTCACAATTTCCTTAAAAAAATCTAAAAATCTCCTAGATCAACCATTCAAAATAGACTCTGAAATCGAAAGACTTTTAAAATTCTCACTCCAGCAATTGAATCAGATCTTTTCATTCAAGTAACTCTAAAAATTGGCCCAGAAAACTAGAAAATTTCGAAAAACTCAGTGTCTGGCTCCCAAAAATAAAAGAAGAATGAAAAACCAAAAACCAGAAGACCATGAAAAATGAGCAATTTTCATTAAAGATAACACTCTAAAAAAATTCTAACAATTCCCTAGATCAACCACTCCATGTAGCTATAAAAAAAACTTTAAAGAAACTCCTGAAAAAACTCAAACTCTAAAAAATAGGCAATAAAAATCGCAAAAACGAGGATGAATGAGCATTTCTCATAATTCCAAAAAATCAACAATAAATTAACATTTCCTTTAACCCCTCACGCACGGGGCCCTTCTGTTACCAAGCGTAGTGTGTACTCAATACAACTCAAATTCGACTATTTCTAATGAATGGAAAATTATGAAACCGGTATCTAATTGAAGCTAGTATTCCGGTTTCCAATTTTGTTTGTTTGATCCAGTTATTCTTTATAGATCTGGAAATAATCAATTTTAAAATCAAGCGTTCACATTCGCATGGGTCGATCCCATGGATCGACCCCGTACGTGAGGGGTTAAACCCTCCACCAAAAACAAATTGACAGCCCTTTAAATCACCTCCAAAGCGTCAAAAAAATTCTCGAAACGTCAAACCCATCCTGACCTCCCCCCCAAAACAAACAAATTTCCATCACCCCAGCTGCATCTTTGAAATAATCCTAATAATAGTCTCATCTTCTGCAAAATCCAATTCTTAGACAAAAAAAGTTATTCAAAACAGGAAAAAAATAAAATGATGAATGCCCTTCTAAATACACTCCAAACTCCAGACATCCAAAACTTTCATTGTAGAAATTGAATCGCATCTTTCCACTGAAGTACTTCTAAAAATTTACCCAAACAACTCCAGAAAATTTCAAAAATCCCAATACCTGGGTCTCAAAAATAAAAAATAATCGAAGACCAGGAGTAAGTGAAAAATGAGGAATCTCTAGTAAAAATAAAAACTCACGAATAAGTTGAGTCACAATTGCCTTACAAAAATCTAAAAACCCCCTAGATCAACCACTCCATGTAGCTCTAAAAAAACCTTTAAAAACCTCCCAAAAAACTCAAACTCTAAAAAAATAGGCAATAGAAATCGCAAAAATGATTATGAATGAGCAATTCTCATGATTCAAAAAAATCAACAATAAATTAAAAATCCCAAAAATTCCCCAATTCGACCATTCCCTTTAAACCCCCCACCAGAAACAAATTGACAGCCCTTTAAATCACCTCCAAAGCGTCAAAACAATTCTCGAAACGTCAAATCCATCCTGATCTCCTGAAATTCCCCCAAAACAAACAAATTTCCATCACCCCAGCTGAACCTTTGAAATAATCCCAATAGTAGTCTCATCTTTCGGAAAATCCAATTCTTAGACCAAAAAAAATTATTCAAAACAGGAACAAAATAAAATGATGAATGTCCTTCTAATTCCAGATATAAAAAACTTTCATTGTAGAAATTGAATCGCATCTTTCCACTGAAGTACTTCTAAAAATTGACCCAAACAATTCCAGAAAATTTCAAAAATCCCAATACCTGGGCCTCAAAAATAAAAAATAATCGAAGATGAGGAGTAAGTGAAAAATGAGGAATCTCTAGTAAAAATAAAAACTCACGAATAAGTTGAGTCACAATTGCCTTACAAATATCTAAAAACCCCCTAGATCAACCACTCCATGTAGCTCTAAAAAAACCTTTAAAAACCTCCCAAAAAACTCAAACTCTAAAAAAATAGGCAATAGAAATCGCAAAAATGATTATGAATGAGCAATTCTCATGATTCAAAAAAATCAACAATAAATTAAAAATCCC